TGCATCGACACAGTTTTTTTTTTCTCGCCAGCCATGCACAGCCTTGTTTTAATCTAAGAACACCTTAGCCATATACAACCTACGCATCGTATTTAGCCCTAAAACATGCGTTCTTAACTTAAACTTCTATTTATTGTATTCCGGAGCTGCTTTACACGAACGTTCCACAGAAAACAGAATGATCACGTGCAAGATGTGTACGCATGATGTTCCGCTGTTGGTCACTTCCGGTCCCGTTGAGGGTCCGCTGTGTCATGCACATGTCCCGTCCGGTGCTGTCACAGGGCGCGCGCTTCTGCTGCAGATATGGCGCGCTCGATGATCGCGCTCTTCATCGCCGCCTTCTTCTTCGTGTTCGTGGCGTTCTGGACGGGCGTGGCTGGCTGCTGGCGCCGCTCGCCCGGCAACATCGGCACCACGGCCGCCCTCATGCTGCTCGCCTGTCAGTACACAGCACGGAGCGGCCGACCGGCGGGCACTGGGGAGGGGGGGGGGGGGGGCGCGGGCTCTCGGGCACGCCACTTCCTCGCGCCGCTCGCCCGGCAACATCGGCACCACGGCCGCCCTCATGCTGCTCGCCTGTCAGTACACAGCACGGAGCGGCCGGCCGGCGGGCGCTGGGGAGGGGGGGGGGGGGCGGGCTCCCGGGCACGCCACGTCCCCGCGCTCCCCCGCGCAGTCGCGCTAGGGGGGCGGCGGGCGAGTGCGGAGGGCCGGTGGAGCGCCACTTAGGCGCCGCCTGCTGCGCGTTAACCTGAACGAGATAATTCAGCATGGATGCTCGGTATGCTACAGATCAAAGTGGTTTCTTTACCTAAATTCGCATGAATGTTCACAGCGCTTTTAAGTCCATTGGTGTCAAGTCGGGCGTTTACGTATAGGGACCTTTGCTTATCAATCCAGCTCAAACATTCAACGTTAAGAGGCCCTGCCATTTCGCCTATACGAGACCCACAGTTTCTGCTCTGTGCAGTTGACGTCTGCAGTTCTAAACGGGTGTCTGTCTGTATGTGCTTGCCATGCCAGTTATGGCCATACGCACCCAGCGTCCGTACCATGAGCCGTTGTGTCACTGACCGGACCGGCCGCGCCCCATCCCAGGTCTCTTCTCTGCCGGCTCGATGGGGCTGTGGCACGGCGTGCAGTACTACGAGCAGAAGAAGCTGAACGAGGAGCCGTTCTACCGCAGCTGGCCGCCGGTGAGTGGTCGGCTGGCGGCACAGCTGGGCCCAGCACGCGCTCCCTGCGGCTGGGCGCTCTCGGCCCAGCAGCCGGTACCCCCGGCGTTGCCGGCCGCTAGCTGGCTTCTCCTGCAACAGCGACCGTTACCAGTCGGCCGACGGTCTGTGCTGTTACGCTATGCAGCTTTGGAAACGAACAATGACCATGTCTGTGCTGCATACGTGATCGTAACAGTTTAAATGACCGCTAGCTATTGTGAAGTTAGCAATGGACAGTTGTTGATCCTACTGGACCGTCCGAAAATGCACTGATATGATCCAGCATCGGTGGCATTATTCCAACGAAATCCTGCCCTCCACTGTGACCCCTCCAGTAAACTGATGAATGCCCACCACGTGGGATAGCATGCTGCATCATCTATGTGTTTTGCATATCTTGTTGCCTCTGTCCTTGAGCATGACCACTGATGAGGCGACGAGCGTTGTCTGCGCTCTTGGGTATGTCTTCTTCCACATTCAAGCTTGTGGGCACCATTTCGCGTTGTGCATGCATCACAATATACCTAGCTTCACTGACACATTTGCTGACACCGTAGCCGATTATTGAACCGATAGAAAAAGCCACCCAGCGACCCATCTAGACCATCGAGCGGTCGACATAACCAACAGCTCGATATCCGGCTTCCAGATGTTGAGCAAATTAGATTCAACCACGCCGGTTGTACCTGCTGACAAATCACGCATTTAGCCACAGAGCCAAACTGCCAAGGTCTGCAGTTACGTTATGAAACTTCAGACACCTCTTCGAAGCATTTGAAGTTTACGCAGCGCTTATTTATGCTTTCACGCTTAAGTGTCTTGGTAAGCGACGATGTCCTCCATCATTCCAAACACTTCTTAAAAGCGCAGCGGTAAAGTTACCCGTACGTCCATCACGACAGTAGCCAACACACCAGGCCACGCACAACAAGCCACTCAGCACTGCACCGACGGTCTCTCGACCGCAGCTTCCGCCTGTCTGTCTCTGCGCCGCCAGTCCTGCCGTGCTCTGTCGGCTGGTCTGTCCGCCGGCCCGGCCGGCTATGCTGACCGCCGGCCGGTATCTGTGTCCTTCTAGCTGGCGCAGCAGCACACCCACGCCGCTTTCGACTGGAGCTATTTCCTCGCCTGGGTCGGCGTGGGCTGCGCCTTCCTCAGTTTCCTGTTTCTAGCTATCGCGTCCATCTGCCTGCGCCGGGAGCGCAGCAAGCAGGCGGAGTCGTCGCACTCACAGCTGATGATGCCAGGTAACGCGGCCGGCCCGGCCCCGCCGCGCCGCGGGTGGAGGCTGCATGACCGCCGACTAACCTCCGCCCCCGCCTGCCGCCGCTGTCCAACATCTGCCTCTCCTTTGTCCGCCATCCGCGGTCGGACGGCGACCTCTGTGCCCTCCAATGTCCCGCCAACCTGTCCTCGTCCCCACCAGCTCGTCCTCCGCCCCGCCCCGGCCGCGCCAGGCCGCGCGTCGCTAACCTCCGGCTCGGCTTTCAGCTGCTGCAGAATCGCAGCGTGGCCGTGTTTGATTGGTCATACTTTATCGCCTGGGTCGGGGTCGGCTGGGTACTCATCTCGGCGCTGCTCTTCGTCGGCGCCTCCGTCTGCCTCAAACGCGAGTTGTACAACGACAAACGCAGGAACCTGCCCTACATCATGCCCGGTAGGAGGCGGCGCCGCAGGTCTCCGACGGGACCGCACTCGACCGCGACCACTAACGCCATCTCGCGTCGCTAACGACTCGTTATGATACGCATTGGTTAAGACCGATGTGACAGTTAGCGGCAGAACGTGTTGAAAGGTTGCGAAACCAACTCCATTGCTTCAGATTGCATTGCTTCATTGTAAACCACCGCAATTATCCGGCCTTGCTACTAATGTTTCCCAAGGGCTTCTCTACACACTGCGTGACTGCTTAAATGACAAACGCATCGTTTGCCCCACAGCTGCAGGCGCTTCAATGGTGCAACCAGTTTCGTTCAAGCTAGCGTATAAGTTTAACATGTACTTGTTTTGCTTGTCGGCCATTCACACCAGTCTGCAACACGGAACTGCATCGTATTGACCAAGCTCTAGGTTGTAGTTGTCAAAAGCCGGTTATGCCGTCCATTCTCGTAGGCCGGGTGCCTTACATCAATTCTGCTTTCAGTGTACCCTACCAAGTCTTCCAACGGCGGATACGGACCTGGCTACGCATACGCATCGTCGTACAACCACCCCGGTCCCTACTACAACTCGCAGTACGGCCCCTACAACTACTAGACGGAAGCTAACGTCCTCCATCGTACTGTTGTCAAAACAGGCTCATCATGGCCGACAGCAGACATAACAACGAAGTCGTGTCGGCGACCCTGCTGCTCCACCAGCGCCCGAGCCTGTGCCTCGGGAGCAGATGTGGCGCGAGATGAATGACTGTGAATCATACCATATCAACTCTTTCCGCGCCGAATATGAGAGGAAGGCGAAATTTGTCGACGACACTGTCCCACGCGCTGGCCCCCCTGTCGCGCACCCGCGTCCATTCTATCGGCGGCCCAGAGGCAAGCCCTGCCCGCAGGGAGCTGCTTATTGCGGCCCTCTCGACTCGGCTCGGCTCGGCTCGACTCAGCTATCACACCCGTCTGCCTCGCCCGACCGTACGGCAGCCTCACACGGCGGCGACGGGCGCTTGGGACGAGGGGCAGCAGGCGGCCCGCGCCGAACGAGCGCAGACAGCGCCTGCCTTCGTGCGCGCCGAGTTCGGCGTACGCGAGCCGTTCCTGCGGAACTCTGCTTCGCTTGGAGGGGCAGAGCTCGGTCGGTAGTGGGTCAGCCAGGTGCCGCGGCGAGGCTGTAACACCAAGCGTCTCACGTGCTCAGCTCAGCTCGGCTGTAACACCGAGCGTCTCACGTGCTCAGCTCAGCTCGGCTGCAACACCGAGCGTCTCATGTGCTCAGCTCAGCTCGGCTGTAACACCGAGCGTCTCACGTGCTCCGCTCAGCTCGGCTGCAACACCGAGCGTCTGACGTGCTCAGCTCAGCTCGGCTGCAACGCTGGGCACCTCATGTGCCACAGGACACAAAGCTCATTGTAAATGTGTACATACTGGACATGCATGCTGGTGCGCTGCCGTGTGGGTGAACAGAAGACGATGCATGTTGCGTGAGTGTAGATGACGAATACTGTGCATTCCTCGGCGAGCAGTTGACGCACAACTTCAGTCGCCGATTCTGTGGGCGTTTGCTGCTCCACCGGTCTGCCAGCGGGTTCACTCACGACGCTGACCGATCGGAGCGGAGTCGCGACGTGATCACCGCACGCCCACGGGAGCAGTGACCGCAGCAGGACTGCTCATCGTGTGTCCGCGGGGGCCGGCGCTGCCGTCGCTGCCCATGTCGGCGACCCTTCATCGGGTGTGTGAGCTCGCCTGCTCAACCGCTGTGAATGGTGCGAGGTCAAGAATGTCCGAGAAGCGGAGGCGTGACTGATGTCGCCGTCAGGTCAATGTCGACTGAATGAAGCCATGTGGCTGTTCTGCGATGTGGAAAACAATATACGAAGTCGACAAAAGATGGGTTTTAGTACGAGATTAGCACGCAGTTAGCTACGTTGGAAAAGGAAAGCAGCATCGTTGAAGTATCGTCTACTCATAATTAATATTGGGGTGCTGTGCATGGAGTTCCACCACGCAAAGACAACATTCTTGACTAGTCCGATTTCGGCAGCGTTTGCTGCTACGTGTTCGTCACGTACCAGTGCCATTAGCAAGGCGGTCACGAGGTGCCCCATGGGAACCGCTGGTGCTGCACACAGAGGTCTACAACAGCACCCCGAACCGTGACTTGATTAGCTCGCGCGCGACGCAGTCACCAGAATATTTCAAGGCCCACGGGAACCTGCTAAAAACATGTAGGCTTAGGACCGTTCCAGCATGTATTCACAAAAGCGCGCGTCACTTTGATCCAATTTTTTCAACATACCAAACCCAGCGAGCCACATACCAATTGCCAGCTACTTAGGCCTGTACTCGTCGTAGTCGTACACGCGGAAGGGCACGTCAAACGAAATGGTGCCGTACTCCTTGGCCTTGTGCATGGCGGCCAGCAGCTCGCGGTGCTTCACCTGACACAGGCCGGTCCGCGAGAAGTCCAGCACGGCGCCGTTGAAATCGGAGACGAACTGCTTCAGCAGCGCCGTGTTCCGGTAGTCCAGCACCAAGTACTCGTCGCGGCAGACGGGGCACGGATTGCCGGTGGACACCTCGCCGCCGCGCACGCACGTGCGGCGCGTCTTGCGCGGCGGAATGTGGCCCTTGTGGTTGCGCCGATAGCTGCGCCACACCGGTTGGTCGCCGTACGTCGCGCGGTACGCCTCGCTCTGCAGGTAGGCGATGCTCGTCTCCACCGGCACCGGGTTGCGCCGGTCCTTCGAGATTGGCCGCAGCTGGAGCGACTGGCCGGAGGTCTCGGAGGACGTGCGCAGGCCGGCGGCGGACGTGCGCAGGCCGGCGGCTGTGGACGTGCGCACGCCGACGGCTGTAGACGTGCGCAGGCCGGCGGCTGTGGACGTGCGCAGGCCGGCAGCGGCGGCAGGCCAAGCCGGCCGCAGCAGCGCCCGGCCGGCCGTCAGTAGCACACACTGCATCTGGATGACTGGTCAGTAGGTAGCTTTTTCAGTAGTTTTTTTTTGCACCTCGCCACAGACGGCCAGGCAGGAATTTCTCTGAAATACAGAGAGGATGCAGGTGGTGTCAGTTCATGCAAATTATTAGTCCTTTTACTTCTGCAAAGATCTGGATGCTACATTGCAAGGAGGACGCATAATCAGCAGTGCTGATTTACACTTGTGATACAGATTCAAAACAAAGTCATGTGCAATGCATAAACCAACATAGGTAATGCAATAGAGATGATCAGATCCAGCATTTTTTAACCAAAATCTACAAGAAATATGTCTTCCATATTCCTTTTTGTGAAATTTGACAGAAACCTGTAAAAGCACATTCAAGAACTTATGTTAATAAAGTGTACCATATTGTTGACCTTTATTTTGCTCTACTTGCACATTTGACAAGGGCCTTTCATGAGGCAACAATGTTAAATACATTTTTTAAACATATATTAAATGTGATAATTAAGCATGCACACCTTTCTTTATTTCATGAACATTCCAAGCAATCATGATCATGTGCTTGGTCAAGGAAGAAAATCCATGTGGGTTTAATTTTAGGTCAATTTATTGATGCAAGTTAAGATGATGAGGACTCAGTTAGCTATGGAACTGGAAAAGCATTAATGACAGCAAAAACCCAGTTCCTGCATTTCTTGATCTTGAACCCTGGACTACCATGCAGGAAGCTGTTAAACAAAGATTGATCACCATTTATGGCTGACTCAAGACCTATTAACATTTTATCTTTGTAAAAAGTTTGATTTAAAAAATCATGGGATAACAGCTCAGCTTATGGAGAGCTTCTTGTGTGACCATAGCCTGACCATCTAATCACAAGATTCCAGTCACATATACAACTTTTGTGGCAAAAGTACAGCATGCCAGGGCACTGTCACAACATCAGCACACTGAATCTTGTGCTCACATAATCAAAATCATGCCAGAAAAATTGTGCTAAATTCTGAAATAGTTTTGCATGCAAATGTTTTCCAATATTTTTGTCTGCAAACTACATCACAACATTGTAACTCCTTGAAAAGTTAGCAGCTAAATACTGAAATTGTTGGTGACCACACACAGAGCTCTAAGCACTCAAGTTTAGTAAGTACATATACTGAAATTATGGCTGTGATATCCCTGGTTTGCCTGATGCCAGGATGCTACTGTTTGGTGATGCACATGTTTTATTTCAGTATGAATCACAGGGAGATTGGGAGGCAGATGCTCCTATTTAAGATACACATATTAGTGCTATCATGGTTATTTATCACTTGTCAAAACTTGGGTCAAAGTGCTAGTTTCTAATTCAAAAGCACACTATTTTGTGGAACCAACAGAGTCATAGTCTTGTAAATAAAACTGTGGGGGTGCGGAGAACAAATGAATACATACCCACCCCCAACATTTCAAACTCCACCACCTTCCTTTCAAAGTTAGCCCCAACTCTAGCTGAATAGGAAACAACACCACTGAGACTTCATGCGCTTTGAATGGAAGCGATGCAATGGGCCCACCCAACCACACAAGCTTCAAACTCCGGGGTCCTGAAGTCAACCCAAGTTCGCCCATTATTCTGAAACAGCAAAACTCAAACTTACTTGCTCCAGATCACCACACTGGTGAGCTAGGCATGGGGTCAACGCTTACGAATTTCACAAGAACAGACCTCACCGCCCGGCAAACACTTATCTACAGTAACGCGCGGCCCCTTCCCCGTAACATTTTAATCTCGGATCCTACCAAAAAGTGAAAAAATCGTGGTACTATATCAAACGCAGCAGATGCGGTATTTATGCCGACAGATCAGTGCTTATTTCGTTTGTGCCTTAAGCCCGATGTTTCTAGTATGACATAAGGTTTTTCAAAAAAATAAGAGTTAAATAAATATTAAATAGACATAATCCTGAAATTTTTACATGAATATGCTATTTTTTGGTGTCTTATTACGCATAATATCGGTATCCGGTAGCTGACGTTTTCAGCATTCCCCGCAGCGTAAACAAGCTTCTGCTGTTGGACATGTGAATCCACGGGAGTCGTAGGCGATGTTTGTGCGCGTGTAGATTTTTGCATTGGTTGTATAGAAGGCTGGGGGTGCGGCGTCGTGGTCCACATAGGCTTTGACAATGGTAAGTGGAAACAAAAAGCATACGTGGTGGTGGTCACGGAAAAGGCATCGAACCCAAAAGGTTTGAGCCGAGCTGTGGACAATGGAATGTATGGTTTAGGCGATTTCTGGTCAAATGAGCATATTTTGTGCTGAGCATTAAGAAACATTTTTAAGATTTGGCCCGGGGAAACCGTGACACAGTCAGACAGTTGTAATGGTCCGGCGTTTTGGAGTTTCAGAAGTATTTAGGGTAGCTACCTAATTTGCATATTACAAGAGTGCGAATTTCGGGGGGAGGTGGGTGGGGGGGGGGGGGGGGAGGGGAGGGCCATCCAAAGCCATGGCCCTTAAAGGCAGTCTAAGCTGTGCCAAAATAACATGTGTGGACTGCGAAGACAGTTCCAGGAGCTTTTAAAACAAAGCTGTTTAGAAGCTTCCTCAGGCAAAATCGAAATTTGAAGTTTTTAAAATCGGGGCACATTTTTAGATTTTGGCTCTCCAGCCGGCGTCGCCCTCTAAGGTGGAGCTCTGGATTCACTCCTGACTGTACGAAATGTCGTCGAACCCTCCTCCACTGACTGTATTCACTCACGTGTAACCCAACTGAGCATCGTATTCATGCGACGTGCTATCGGCGAGTGGGAGTGGGGAGTGAAGGTGCTCCAACTTCCGCGAAATTTAGCATTACACCCTCGCCACTGCATGTAAAGGAACTTCCACAGAGACTTCGCTTTCTCTGTGATGACGCCTGATGGAGGTCCTGGTCACACCTATTTTAGGCGATAACTGGGCCTGGATGGCAGGGAAGGGGTTTCGACTGCGCCTCCCCGCCAACGTAAGCAAACATTTAGCAAGGGCACGGAAATGTTAGGCGTTGCAACACGATACCTCGCATGGATAGTATTAAACGCGCTCTGACTTTTTTACTCCCCCTAAGTGACGGAGCTTTTTCGCGGTCCGCGCTCCGCATGAATGGGCGGCTCCCACATGTCCCGTAAATTCATTTTCCCCTTTATGAAGAACGTGTTTCTGACATGGGCTGGAAATTACTGTTTTACTATGGGTTAATTGATGCAGTGCTATCAATGCAGCCGAACATATAAAGTGCTTCTTAGCCTTGATAATTGTTGAGATCTGTTTGACTTTATACGCTAAACATGATCCCAGGCTTTGCTTTGGTGCTAATGCCTCGAAATATGTGAAATAGTTGCGTCTTGCAAGTTAATCGCATACGTAATGGATGAAATGAAAGCAGGAATATGAATTCACAAGTCGATCAATGGGGTAATTGGTGAAATGAATATAAGGGTTGGGAATTTCGTTACTGTGGCATTTGGACATATGATTGCAACCTCTGCCATTCCTTCCTCAGATTCTGTCTCGCCTGAAGCCAGCGGGAAAGAAGAAGAAAGAAGAGGAAGAAAAGCGAAAGAAGCAGCTCCCAAAGCTAGAAGAGTTCCTGTCCAACCGAGACTACACTGGAGCGATTACATTGCTAGAGGTAAGAGGAGACATGGAGAAAATACCGCCCCTCAATCACGTCAATGGCGTCCACTGCAGTAACCACGGCTTCAGGTCACTGGATTCCTCCAGCAACACTAGTTACCGGCACGTTGAGACATTGGTTCATTGCGCTGGCAGTCAGTGGACATCGGGCTGGACGTCCGCGACACTGGACAGCGTTTGCGAATGTCGGCCTTGATCAACGTCGGCAGGAACTCAGCCGTAGGTTTGCTCGCTTGTTAGGCGTCATTCTGTATTGACGTCGCGTGAGACAACGTAAGCCATTACGGGTTCGGTTGTCCCCTTTCCCCTGGGCACAGCTGGTTGAAAAGTCTCGGTGCCGGTTTTCTGTCAGGCGTAATTCTTATCCATTTCTAGCTTTCTAAAAAGCGTATCACAAACGTTATTGGCTGGCTGGCGAGAGCTGTCGCGAGGCGAGTGTTCTGTGTATATGCGCTTCGTTTGTACTCCCGCCTCGGTCTCATTTGTATGGCGTCAGGACTGTGATCAATTACAGTTGCTCAGCGGCGCTCTGGAGACGTTCGCCGTTGGCGTTTTTACTCTCATTTAAGCTGAAAGAGGCCGAATGTAGTCAGGATTCGGTGATGGCCTGAGTTTCCGGACAACGTAACCCCCAGTGAGACCGTTGCTGTTGGTAAGGTTCGGTAGCTCCGTTAGTTCCAATAGACATCGACTGCTGCGCAGAGCCTTGTGACTTAACCGCAGTTCATGATTGAACACCCGACGCGGATTTGAGCAATTTGTACGTTAGGAACGTGCAAGTGCTTGTTCCATGTGAAAGCGTTTCACGTGAGGGAAGACGTATCAATTGCAATGAATCTCAGAGACGGGATGACAGCATACCTGGTCGCGTTATATGGCTGGGGCACACTAAGGTAGAATCGCCTGTTTGTATTACTCTATCTCTAAGTGACCACGTCAGCAGCAAAAAAAGAATACGGGAGCTGTGCATAATGGCCACATCACGCTTTTCTTCTTTGTAGCTCCGCCTCTCGATGATGATAAAGCTAAGCCCGTTGACGTTGAGTATGTATGAACGCTGACCTGCTCTCACGGCGGACAGAGCACAGCGGCCGGCGGTGGCGGCGCTGGTCACCGCCCACTCACGCTGCGCTCCGCCTGTGTCGTCAGTTCCACCGGAACTCGGAGCAGGGCAGCAGTGATGTCGACCAGTGGATTGCCTACTGCGCCTTTCACAACGGCGACTACAAGCGCGCCTCGCAGGTGAGCGTCAGACTGAGGCACGTCCTGAGCGTGCCTCGCGGGTGGGCCCCAGACTGAGGCATGTGGCCCACAGCGACCGGGCACGGTCAGAACTTGGCGCTGTACGCGATGTGGTAAACTTCTGTGTTTACTACCAATGAAAGAGCGGCACTTCACTGACGCACCAAGCGCGTGCAAATATTTGCCTCCACCCCATCCCCAATTGTTTTGTTCACACGTGCGCTGGAGTTGTGGGAGAAAAGTAACATAACATTTAGGACAAACCAACAATATGCGACTGAACCCCTTCGGGGCAGCCGATGCATTGCTGGTCTGCTTCACATTTGTGCCAGAAAGTCCTCGCACCTCTCCGACGAAGCAGGCTTTTGTGTGGCTAACTGTGTCGCACAATATCTTGAAGCCGACTCGATGCACTATTATGTCCATTTTTTCCGACTCAGTGCATCATTTTGTTTCAAGCTCCAGGCGATTTTTTAAGGCCTTTCCACAAAATATGTAAAGAAAAGAACGAAATCTATTAAATTATACGCGTATGCCTTAGGAAACGTAGGGTAATAACACGACTGAAGCGTCCAAACAAGGAAAAATTGGTTTTATCATACTAAGCACATGTCGGATTAAAAACACGAGTTTAGATGAACTGCTGCACAGGCTTCACACACACACACACTGATTACTTGATCAGTGTGCGTCTAGAACGGCACCAGCTGGGGATCGAGTGCGAACCCTGACCAATGGCATGTTGGATCGGAAATCTCAAACACCGCTCGTAAGCCATAGCTCGTTCCCCATCAGTATTGAGTTTAAAGGTCTCTGAGGTCGTTTTGTTGCCAAATTTAAGGGGAAGGTCAAGACCAGGCCAAGAAGTGTCGAATATTAAAATAACTAAATATCGCCATCATGTCCTGTGGCTTGTTTGCAGAGTACTGTCGTCTCAGGTGTGCAGAGAACTTGCTTATTAGTGCCTGGTAATCTGATTAGATTATGTTTTATCTACCTTTGAAGAGTCCCGTCTTACCCTCGGCCCGGCTAACACGAAACGACCAGGTGGCCACCGGCCAGAGAGGGTCAGTCTGGCCCGAGACAGTCGTGTCGAAGCACCGCACACCACGTGAGCCCCTCGGCAGTCCGCACTCGGGCAAATAGCCAGTGAGCAAATTTATCCGATGAGCGAGATGAGTATCTTGAATGGTGGTTTTAGGACACGCAACAATTTCTGCGAAGCACGGGCTCTGAAGTTAAGGCGACCCATTCAAATCCTTGAAACAAGTCTCCCAAAAGTTGCCCTTAGCGCTGGTTAGATGCTTCACGTGGTAAACGACGGTTGTGACTATCATCGATGCATGAGTTACGCTCGGATAGCCGGACGTTGATGTTCGTTGACGTTCATCATCTGCTGGCGGTCATGCTGTCGGACTGCAGCTAGACTGACGTGTGGTCTGTGGCCGCGGCCTTCGCCGCTAATGCCCGGCTGACTTTGACTCGGCGCGACTCTGCGACCCCACCCAGACCCATCTTTGGCCGTGGCCTCTGCGGCCGAGGCCCGGCTGACTCTGACTCGTCGCGCCTCTGCAACCCCACCCAGACCCATCTTTGGCCGTGGCCTTCGCGGCCGAGGCACGGCTAACTGACTCGGCGCGACTCTGCGCCCACAGGAGTATGAGTCCATCACGAAGAAGGAGAAGAAGGTGAAGCCCGAGCTCTGGCTCAACCTGGCCGTCTGCTACTTCTACCTCGGCATGTACCAGGAGTCGAAGGAGGTGATGCGGGGCCGCCGCCCAGCTCGGAGCTGCGCTCGCCGGCTCTGACGCGCGCGACGTAGCGTAGTACAAGCGACGCACGTCGCTTGTAGGGAGCACCAGCGACTGCATTGGCCGTGTTAGCGCCCTGGGGACAAGGCGCCACCGGGATTCAAACCCGGGTCCCACGTGGGAGTCCTACGCTCTAACCATTCGGCCTTTACCTGTCCTGTCGGCGCCGGCTGCTGAGATACACACGTCCGAGGTTTCAGAGCTCACGCTCTCCTCATAGCATGCGATGGGCGCGTGCACTGATGTGGTAACCGGCTGATTGCAATGGTGGCTGGTGTTCAGAATACAGCGGACCTCCTCGTACCCGTTTTCCAGCTGGCATGTGCCAAAAGCGTCATGCCATACTACAGTTGGAATTTTGATTGGCTGTTCCCAAAACATTGCCTCCTGTACTAAAACGGCGTCTGCGGCCCACAGGCGGCTGAGAAGGGACCGAAGACCAGCAACCTGAAGTCGCGCCTACAGTTCCACCTGGCGCAAAAGTTCAACGACGAGAAAGAGCTGATGACGTTCCACCAGCAGCTGAAGGACGTGATCGAAGACCAGCTGTGTCTGGCGTCTATCCACTACCTTCGCAGCCACTATCAGGAAGCTATTGACATCTACAAACGCATTCTGATCGACAACAGGTGGGGCCGCTGGCGGTCGGTCGCCTCCAAGTGGGCATTTCGCGCCGCGGCGGTGCAGTGGGTACTGATGTGCCGACGATCAACACCTTTAAATAATCTCACGTGAATATGTCATGGCTTGGCCTGCTCATGGGATTTGCGCCAGCATGCTTTGTGTTACGATGATAACACGTGTAAGTTATTCGATGGTACAATGGCACTGAGTGTGTGATGAAAGCTTAGGTTTTTGAAACCACGAAGGGCCTGGCATATGCAGTCGACGCCTGATTAGCTAAAATCACAGCGGAGACTGTCCGTCCTCGTGGTCCACTAAGTGAGTAGCAGCACAACTTGTGCATATGCTCAACAGTGTGCGGCAGCTGCACTTAAGCTCTTGACATTGATTTGACCCATCAGTCTACTACACACGTGGTGAAAAGTCGCTTCAGCCGCCGCGTCCGGAGCTGTATCGCCGGTGTGAGTTCCGTTACCAGGCCGCCGTCCGCGGACCCGGCGCCCGTCTGTGGCCGCCTGGCGCTCTGCCGGCGCTCCAGCCCCGCGTGACAGGCCCGCCCGCCCCCGTCGACAGGGAGCACCTGGCTCTGAACGTGTACGTGGCCATGTGCTACTACAAGCTGGACTACTACGACGTGTCGCAGGAGGTGCTGGCCGTCTACCTGCAGCACTTCCCAGACTCGGCCATCGCCATCAACCTCCGCGCCTGCAACCACTTCCGGCTGTACAACGGCAAGGCGGCCGAGCAGGTTAGTGTCGGCCGGCCGTCCGTCGCCGGCTGCGGCTCAGCCCGACGGGGACGGCCGACTGGAGCTGAGCGCTGTCCGCTGTCTCGCTCTGGTGCCTGTGTGTATCCTCCAGCCGGTGTGTCGTGCGCGAAGGCCGTGTCCATAAATCGGAGCGGACAGCGGCCCGGCCGGGCGGCGTCAGTGCCGTCGCCGCCGGCAGACGGCAGCGGCCCCTGGCGGCGAATGGTCATGCTCAGACGGCTACCGCGCACCGGCAGGAGCTGAAGTCGCTGCAGGACCAGAGCAGCGCCGGCTTCACGTTCGGCCAGGACCTGATCCGCCACAACCTGGTGGTGTTCCGCGGCGGCGATGGCGCCCTCTCCGTGCTGCCCGACCTCGTCGACGTCATCCCTGAGGCGCGGCTCAACCTCGTCATCTACTACCTGAAGCAGGCGAGCTCCCGTCGCCGGCGGCCGACCGGCGGCTAGGGGCCAAGCGGCACGACTGATGCTCGCTCCCAGTCAAATGCCTTGGCTGTGGTGATGGTTCGCTGCTCCCGTCCTAATTCCTTTTTTCAGTTCAGAGAATTTTAACATTTTAACGACACTTTCTTAACATTTCACCAACACTGATCGTACCACCATGAGGGCACGCTACCGTCTGTGACTATTTGCGGCGTGTTGTGACGACGGCTCAGGCTTGTCCGAGGCGTGCCGGCATTTGGTCCGACGCCAGAGGCGTTGCGCAGGGGCAGTGACCGACACGCTGGCCGACAGGACGAGCTGCAGGAGGCCTACGACCTCATCAAGGACCTGGAGCCCACTGTGCCGCAGGAGTACATCCTCAAGGGCGTTGTCAACGCCGCCATGGGACAGGAGACGGGCTCGGTGAGCGCGACTGTCGTGCTTGCTTCGGTGCGCGGATTAGGTGCTGCGGGCACGTGCATCTCTGGCCGGCTGGGCCTCGGTATGCGCCGACGTGGACGCGGCAGGAGTGATGTGAGAAACGTTTGCCGTGCGGCGCCGGCGCATTGGCGCGCCATGGCGCCATCTATTCACGAAATGTGTGTTTCAGCGCGACTACCTGAAGGTGGCGCAGCAGTACTTTCAGCTGGTGGGCGGCTCGGCGTCCGAGTGCGACACCATCCCAGGTGGGTCGGCGCGGGCCGGACCGGCGGACGGTGCCGGCCCGCCGCTCCGGTGGTCAGGTCAGACGCTGGCGGCGGAGTTCGGGCCACGGGGGGGGGGGGGGGGGGTCACCCACGGGCTACCGGAACAGGCGGGAGGTGAATTTGCAACAGTGCAACAAGCTTTGTACTAGCAGAACGCTTTTGCGCTTGAATTGACGCATCACAATCGGTGTGGGGTCCTGATTATTACAGGTGACCTCATGATCTGAATCAAACCCGCCTAAGGGCTTGTTCTCACGGACGACTTCGTCAGAGCGTCGAACGCGCAGCGCAAGCAGGTGACGCCATGGCAACGTGAGACGTGTAATGCGTGCCCCAGTGTGCCTGCATCGAGGATCTCGAATCTCGGATCTCCGAGGATCGAGATTTAAGCCCAAGCCCTATGGAATATTCATTGAATTGGCTGCTTGCGACACATAACATGTCAAGCAGCCATGAGTCATAGCGCACCACAATACAGCCCGAACTTGAAATGCGAGCCTCGGCGTGTTCTTGTCTCAACTGCAAAACAGACTGGTCGGATGGAGACCGTTTGGGCTATATTGCATGGAACCCTATGACCAGGTGGCGGTGTTGCGCCCGTACGCTGCTGGCGCTAGCAGGTGGCACGGTCCCGCTCCCTGTCGGCCGGTCGATGCCGCGGCGCGCCGCCGACCGTCCCCTGGGAGAGGTGGCGCGTGAGGCGGAGCGGACAGGTCACGGCCGAGGCGCCGGCGCCGCCCGCCGCTCCCGGCACGTAGCGTGCTCCGTGACCTTGGCGGGTCACCGGCCCGCTGTACACAGCCGGGGCAGCCGGCGGCCGCCCTGTGTGCAGTCACAGCGGCCGCGCCGGCCGCCCGCGCTGGCCTGCTTCATAAAGCGACGGCTCGACTGGCACCGGTTCGAAATCACATTTTGGGAAAATGCGGAACATGAACTATTCAGCTAGGTCGACTCATGTCGTGCATCAGGGACTTAACTCAATACGTGATGCAAAACAGCAGGAGCTGCTTGCGGCCCACACGCGTGCGCGTGCGCGTGTGGGCCGTACATCGGGCGTGGTGTTGTTTCAAGACGGCGCGGGCTGTAGTTCCGCTGTATAACGTGGGCGGCAGGTCGTGAGCCGGGCCGGTGCGGACACTGTTTGGGCGACCAGGGCTAGAGCACAAGCGCCAGGGCACAACACGGCTCGACCTCAGAACGTCATGGGCGCGGGCTTGTTATCGGCCACCACCGGTGCCGCGCGTTTTTGAAGGACGACACCGATGACACAGTACTGTCGGATGTTGTTAAACCGAGACATGGAACAGGGTGTCGTGTTTTCAAACGTCTGCAGAATGGCCGCGCGTTAGTGAGAAGGCACCAGACCGCAACTTGTGCTGCTGACTGGGCTTGTCTGGTTCCAGGAAGGCAGTGCATGGCGTCAACGTTTTTCCTGATGAAGCAGTTCGAGGACGTGCTGTTGTACCTGAGCTCCGTGAAGACGTACTTTCCCAACGACGACTCGTTCAACTTCAACTATGCGCAGGTCAGTGACAGTTCAAGTAATAATAAACTGTGAGGCGGCTCAAGGCCATCTGAGATGGAGCAGCCGCAGCCGGGGCACGCGGAGCGGCCGCGGTCAGCCGCTGCGGCCCCGCGGCTCGGCGGGATCCTGCGGAGCGGACTGCCGCCCGGCGCTGGTACACCAGGTCCTGCATGCGGGCGTCCATCACGGCGGTTTCTCCATGCTTTGGCTATCTACCGGTCTAATGCGTGCGTCATGGTGCTAGGGAAGCTCCTGAAAGCACCTGTTTACGCAGCAATGACGTGAGTGTGTGTCGAGTCATGACCAAACAGTGCTTACGTCAGAGTCGTGCGTCAGTATAGTGCCGTGCACGGCGTGGGACAAGTTTTTATTCTCAAAAAGGCCACGATGCATGCCGTCGCGCGCATTTCATTGGAACGTCAATGTTGTGATCACACATCTTCTTTTGCAGCACAAACAAAGAGCTAAATCTGCGCATATGATATAGCGTATTACACCAATACGACCGCGAGAGATATTCGCATGTACGAGGCATGATTTCACTAGGAGGCTCTCAAGTATCTGAAGCTGAAGCACATCTAGTTATGCATGTGCCCTTCACTCGTTAGTGGTTATTGGGGATGACCTGTCACGATGTCGATTATGAGTATGACGCTGCGCTACTCACTGTTACTAAGCGGTGGAGCGTCTACATTCCTTTGCTACTCATCCATTTACTGAGCGGTGAAGCGTTGACATTCGCTCCACGACCCGTACGCTGCGCAGACGTGCGTCTAATCCCTGCCATCTCCGTTAGCCAATTGAGACCAAACAAAAAAGAACGTAATCTTCACAGTAAGGTTTTTGTCATAGGTTTTGAAGGAGGCGCTGGGGCTTTATGCTTGGTTTACCATCAGCCGCCGAATGTAATCCCGAAGGTAATCGCGTTATGCTGCTCGCTTGACATACGCGCCGATACCGTCGCATGGTTTTTGCCATGCGAGGTAGCAAAGAAGGACTGATGACATTAAAGTCCGCAGGCTGTCTGATGATGACGCATATTTTCAAAATTATACCGGTTCTTATACTGCCCAGCGCATCCATCTGAAAGTAGTGTTAGTTTCAGCATGCCCCGATGCAAATTTTGTACTCCCTTTATCAACCCAGACTGGAATTCTGTCAGCACTGCTGCGGTGTGTACCAGGGAGTCGGTTGCCGCACAAAAGCCCTGCCGATCGTTCCTCATGCAAAGTGCAGCGTTGTACCAGGAAAACGTCTGGGTTGCATCCGGTGTGACGAATGTAAGATGTTGCGGGCAAAATATCTCTGTTCGGCGCCGCCCAACGGCCGATAACAGCACTGCACAGCTGCTTGTGTAGCTGAGAGCGCGCTCAACAGTCATTTTATTACAAAGTCATGGCGCGTCGGTTGTGTTATCGCCTCATTGAATGATGACACAACGCATCTGTTTATAGAACAGGATCAATCGAGGCATGCCGACCAGCCGTGATCCACCTCTTAAACTGACATTGTCGTTTGTGTGCGTTGTCCTTCATGCTGTGCAGGGTCTATGGTTATTCGCTCACTCCTTTCTCTCTCAGTTACTCCCCACACACGTGTGTCATGTGGCTACGTCTTCATATTGCCAGGCACTTTTCACCATCAAACGGTACACATGGAACTCGCTTAGTCTAAGCGGTGCGTTCTGAAGCTTCGGGTCCTATCGATGCAAACCGACAACACCACAACGTTGTACTGATCGCGCCAGCACCACTGCCGAGATCGGTATGGCTCACTCGGTGGCGTTTTGTTTAGGTCCGGCCACGTACGCATTTTTGCCTTCCAAAGCAGAGATGCAAATGTTTCCAGAAGTAGGTGTTCATGGCAACCGGCCCGGGCGGCCGCAGAACGAGCCATTGCTCTGCCCAGACCTGGCGCATCAGTTCCTTAATCACATGCGAATGTGCAGCCGCTACCTACCTTTTCCGGCACAGCAGTTATTGTTGACCTTGGTGCTGGGACATCGAAAACTATTGTTGCGCCTTTTCACGGTCGTGTTTGGTCTACTTGGTTGAACGCTCGTCATTTTTTTCTGAAGATGCCTTTAAAATGACACCCATATTAACTGGCTTTGAAGTGTCACCTAAAATTTATGCCCAGGGTCAGGTCACTGATTGATACGTGCCATGCGTGACCTCTCACACATTTCAAACATCTCCAACGTATTTTTTTGTGCTGCGAGCTTTAATGCGATACCCGCATCGGCTGTGCACCAACTACATGTACAGGCCCATACCATGACCCCATTGTTGACCTCGCTGACACGTCACCGAGTCGGAACTACAAAGAAAAACGTGTAGGATCATTTGGGCAATGAACTCGGCATCCTACAGCAAGAAATTCTTCCAAATCAGGCTCTTTGGAAATGTCATGGATATAAGGAAAAGGACACGAGGTCAAACAGTTACCGAAGGTGTACATTGATATTTTAACTGGATGCGATAGATCATCTTTCAAACCATGTGTAGCTTTGATCAGACCCGAGGGGCTATTGTAAAGATGCAAATTGGATAGTTCAACTTTGAATATTACATCGGAAATTCCGTGATCTCCATGTTGTCACTCAAATAGCTTAGAAACCTAAAAAATCACGGGCACAATTATGACATATGAGTACGCGCGCCAAATTTCGCTCCACTCGTAGAGATCGCAGTGCAGGGTTCTAGGCCCACCTTGGTGATTTGCTCTTGAATAAAAGTCTTTGAACACTACAGCGCCTTATATTCGTCGTCGATCTTGAAGAAAGGTGACGCTGCCCTCCTGGCGGTCGATACCTGGCGAACCTATGGGTCGGATGAGTTCGTCTTACAATATCGTAACAATATCGTATCAAAATGCATGCACGTTTCGACGTCATAAATGCACACCACAGATGCGGCAATGCATCACGTTGGAATTGTTTGGCGAGGGATCAGTCATGCGCCACATGCACACATGCCACTGCTTATAGCCAGCCATCACAAGGTCTGATTCCACGTTGTAAGACAGGAGTATTAACCTTATTTCTCGGAGAAGAAAAACCTGGAGAATGGAGCGCAAGGCAAATATCGAGTAGGATCATCGGCAGGCAATTTCGAATGCACTTCTGCTATTGTTTAGATAAAGACATGCACCCGAAATATCAACCTATATGTATGATGTACAACTATATCTCCATTCTCCTGGTTTTTCTCCGAGGAATAACGCTAATGCTACTGCCTTATCTATGTGAATAGTGTTCCTCGTTAATGCACTGAACAACTTACGTGATTTTAAATTGTGTGCTAATGAGAGAGCCAACGTCGCGCGATGCGCAAGTGGTTGTAGGGTGTCGTTTGATTCGGAAATATTTCATGGTCTACACCTCTAATAGCCATGTGCTGTTTTTGCTTCAAGAACATTTTGTGTTATGAACTGTGTGCAGCTTATCGCCTGTACTCATTTGATTTGGAACCGACCGGGCTACATTTTGTGTTCATTCGTGCTGCTAACAATTTTAAGTTACCGCGGGGCGCGTTATAAAAGCCGGTTCACCTATTGCGCTCGACGGCACGCGGCAAGCAGCACACCAGAACGGGTGTGCGCCAGTTCGAGTTTAGTTGTTTTCGCCCCCGCCGTCGGGGCCTCGGACTACTGTCTGTCTTGCACAGTTTAAACATCCTCTGTGGTGATGCATGATGTACACGATATGCAATATAATTTATCCAGTCCTGCGAATGCTGTCGCCAGTGCGTGGTCTCCTGCGCCCTGAGACGGAGATCAACGTCAGTACCATTGCCTGCGCTGTCCCATCTGGGCAGTTCCGTCCCGTTTTGCGGCGGCCCCCGCCTGGCGAATGCCCGACGGCGCTCCTGGACATGAGCCACGCTTGGGACTGCTGGTGCAGACCAATACAATGCGCGTGCGTAGTCGACGGCAGGGTGGTAAATAAACGCAGCATTTTGTAGTGACGAAAACGGGTAAATTCCGTCGACGAATGTGTTGTGTGATCGGAACTAGCTTATTGAGATATGCGTAAATTTATAGGCTGGACACTGGTCACCGTAAGGTGGGTTTCGCGTCTATCAGTTTCATGGCCCCAGCCTGCTGGATTTAGCCGCCAGTGTGTTGTATTTGAAACCATTTTCGAAAAGGTGGCATTGTCCGTTCGCTAGTCCATCACTGGCGTCGCTTGGGGTCTGACTGCGTCGAGTTGGTCGGGTGGCTGTACAGGCACGTGCACGGCGCCTTGAGTTGGCGTCGTTATCTGCTCGGGCCGCTAAAATCTGAGGTAATTCCTGGAAAGTGCTTCAAACCTTCGAATCTGCTGTTTGCGCAACGAGGCGTTCCGTGACCTGCGCGTGGAATGGCGCGTCCGCTGGTGCGATTGCCAGTTCTCGAACGAGTCGAAACGTGTCGATCTCCTTCCGTTGTGACTTCCGTGCTGAGCTGTGAACTGGGCTCCGATACATATTTCGACAATGGTTGTCAGTCTGCGAGCCGGCCGGGCCCTGTTCTGAATTTGATATAATAAGAATATACACATGCTAGCCTGGTGACATTTGCACAGGCTTCATGTGACATTTGGCAGGCCTGGTCGCACGCCAAATGTCAAATGGCCATCTTGCGTTTACGCTTAGACGCAGCTGCGTCGACGAGTGGTGGACGGACGTATATTCCTGAAATCACAGACCAGACGACCAGCGTTGCACGATGTGGAATCTGGAAGATATGGTTTGATTTCCAAATACTCCATGGTCTGAGCTTCTGATAGCCACCCGCTTGGTTTATTGGAGAAGTATTTTCATGTGAAGCTTATCCATCATGTAAAGTTCATGTATCGCATTAACTGCTCTCATTTTACCTGGAGCTGAACTACTCGTGTTTTATTTTCAGTTGTGTTTCTCGAAATGTTAGGAATCCACTATGGCACATGAGCGGTTTATGCATTGCTTTCGACAATGCGTGGCCAGCTGCACTCCAGAATGTATTCGTGTACCAATACATTTACACGCTCTTTTTGCTGTCGCATTGGTTTAGTCCCACGTCGCTACGTTACCCGGCTGCCGAATTCCCACACATGTGTCTAAGTATCCGCTGCACGGGTACGTGGCGTTGAACATTTGCCAATCCAAACATCATATCCGACAGTGCGTAACGTCCTGCACACATCAATGAACATGAAAGTTAGTGCGACAGTCTGCCGCTGTCTCAACCGAATCGTTTGCCTTCCGTTCAGCAGCGACTCTCAGGTGTCGGATGTCCAGCGACTCGCTTGGACTCGCTTGGACTCGTTTGGGCCCGCGACTCGTCGCCGTGCGCAGGACCTCCGCTATAAACTCGCGGCTTCTACTCCAATGCCCGCACAGCAATATGTCGTCCGATGAGCGTGGCGGCGTTGTGCACCGACGAAAACGAGGCACTTTGAGGTGCCGGAAGTCTTGGAAAATTGCGACCGAAGTCTTTATTATTTTTATTATATTGCGATTAGAGTTGTGTTTTGCTCCATAATGAGATGTGACCCAGCGCTGCTCTGCCGCTGCTTGAAGCGAGAGAGCCACGGTGAACCCGCTGCCCCTGTTATCCTAGGAACGTGGAAAAGCGCGCGCTGCCATGGCATGATCGAAATGCTCGTGGGTGCCGAAGGCAAACATATGCTGCGTCTGTGGCACTATCACGCACGCGTGGACACGCCCACGAACCGGCGCTCACACACGCACGCAAATGTCTGTACTTGCACACTTTAACGTCACGCGCATATCTACACACGCACCTTCAAAAATACACACGAACACCCAATCCTCACTGATACGGAGAACAGGGCTTTTCTTTTGCCCGTTCGTAGAACTGACTGCCTTTCCGTGACAGCGACCGATGGGAGGGCGGACCGAGCGCGGTGCTGAGACATGTGTCGGTCTGTGCGCACATGTGACGAGGACAGGCCAAGGCGGCCACGGGCGCGTTCGCCGAGGCGGAGGAGACGTTCCTGCTCATCCAGAGTGAGAAGATTCGCAGCGACTACGTCTACCTCTCCTGGCTTGCCCGATGCTGTGAGTGGTGGCGCACGCCCGCTGCAGTCGTGGCTTAGAGGCGGCCGTGGCGAGGCGTGAAAACGGCAACAGTATAGGGAGGGGGAGGAGTCGGTTTGCTGGCGATTGGGCAGGCTGCTTGTTCAATGTGAGCCGCCGTCTGGTCGCAGGAAGTGCTGGTTTGCTTATGACAACTGGTTTGAAGCCTGACAGAGGTACTATGTCCTTGGCCATGAGTACCTACCAAGATTTCCTTTAAGCTGATGCGTGCTCACAATAGTCCTGAACACTGCGATTATTGCCAACACACACGACTGAATCAGGTGTTTGTTGTATGATACGGTCATGTTAAATGGTGAGCAACATCCTTCCAGCAAGACTGGAGGCTGCTAAAGGTAGACGAAGCTCCTATCCTGATAGCTCACAAATTAATTGATTAAATTCGAAAGCTGTTCGTTGTTAGTCTTCAATGGACTGCGGATGTAGTAAACCGTCTGGTGTGTTGTTATGTGTGGGCACTAACGCGCCAGACAAGGACGATAGTTCGAACAGTTATTCCACTCGTGACACTAGTACCTCGCCTCAACCCTTCCGTAAAACTTTAATGGACTGCTTAATTTGACAGCCGCCCGTTATAGTTCATGGCGGTCCTTTCATCGTCTATTCTTCCTTTCTCTCGCCGTCCCGACGCCCCACAGTACCTTCCATCCCATGACCCCGTTCCATGCGTACCTCTGCTTACCTCCCTCCCATCTCGGCTCTATCTTGACCTGGTGCTCGCTGGTCGCGCCGGGCCGATGCCGACCGACCGCGCCGCTCCGCCCCGAGTGACGGGCCCTCGCCCGGCGGCAGACATCATGAACCGCAAGGCGCGGCTGGCCTGGGAGCTCTACCTCAAGATGGAGACGTCGGCCGAGTCGTTTTCGCTGCTGCAGGTCATCGCCAACGACTGCTACAAGATGGGCCAGTTCTACTACTCCGCCAAGGCCTTCGATGTGTTGGAGAGGTGGGCCGGAGGGGTGTTGGCGTATGCATGTGGGTGGGTGGAGGGGGGGGGGGACGTCATGCGTGACGACTGGAAGTGCCACTGGCGTGACGGGTGTGTTGAGCGTGGCGGCCCAGCCCGCTAGCCTCGGGTACAGTGTGTGAGCCATTCAAAGCTAACGTCAGTGTCACGCCGGGCCAAGGGAGAAAACCTCTCAGGTGCTGGAGCCGGCCCAAAAACGCGTGAACCGACCAGACACCGGCCTAAATGCTGACCACGCGCTACAACGCGGAGTAAGCCGCTTCAGTGTTACATGTTGCATGACCGCTGACTCGGTTGTCCGCAGGCTGGACCCCAACCCCGAATACTGGGAGGGTAAGCGCGGCGCCTGCATCGGACTGTTCCAGATGATCATCGCCAACCTGGAGCCCAAGTAAGCCAGACCGACGTGACGCAAGGCAGGCCGGCCCGGCAGCCGGCGGACACCCGGCTGACGCAGCGGGTGTTCCCTCCCGGCGCGGCCTGTGCTCCCCGGTGTTTCTCGAGAGCACGGCATCGTCGGCGGTGTCGAGACACGCGGACCGTTCCGCGAGTCTTGGGAGCCGGCCGAGTGGTACCACTGGCAGGGTCTCCCCTGTTTCGGGAATGGCATACCAGGCATGACAATATATATATCCTGATATAGATTAGGTCGGTCGACAGGCTCAGAGCTCAACAAGCTGGTATACTGCGCGCGTGTCTTCAAGAATGCGATAAACGAATCTAAGCAAATCGGTTACATATGCCATCCACTCATTCAGGGGTGTCTTTTCAGAGAGAGCCTGGGAGACATTCTGGCTCTGCTAAGGAATACGCCGAACCCGCAAGTGGAGCCCATCATAGGGGTACGTGGACATTGAGCCACCGTTCGCGTCCCCTACATTTCTGCGGTGGTGTTGCACGAATTGTGTGATGTCATATATCCCTTTGTCGCTAACATCCCGCTCATGACTCGACGATTAGTGGCACGCCAATCGTGGTCATCCATGCGTTCATAAAAAACATCCACGTACCGCGCTTTGTCAAAGTGCTAGTCGCCTAACCCGCTTGTCTGTGGTCAGCTGGCCGGGCCAGTTGCGTTTTTTTAACGAATGTTACAATACTTGACCCTGTCCTTACAGCATTGCAACACACATACCAGATATGCTATTAGCACATGCTTGGCGCCGAGCACACGTTTGATACATTCCCCACTCGTTCCAGGTGATGAAGAACTGGGCGAAGGACAACAGGATCCCGCTGTAACCGTCGGGTCCGCTGGCTGGCGTCCGTGTGACCCCGAGTGGTGGCGCCGGCCGCCGCCGACTGTGTCGCGTCCGGCCGTGGGCTACACACACGGGCTGGCTCCGCGTGCCGGCCAGCGGCGCGGTGCGGCGCGCAGCCGGCCGCCTCGGCTCCCCAGCGCACCGGCACGCCGGGCGTCACGCTGCCGGCCGGCGTCGATGTTGGCATCAGCGGGTTGCGGCCTGTCGCCGCCCGCCCTCCGTCCGTCACAGTCGTGACGGCACGTTTGCACGTCGCGTGGTGCACGGTGCCGCGGCCGACGCCGTCACGCTGGCGCTGTGACCCCGGCACGCCGCCTGGAGTCCGTCGCTAGGCTCAGGGGCAGGCACCCGCGGGCGGGATTGGCGTAGTGCTGTCAACACGTGCACCAGGGTCAGCTCCCGCTGCCGGCCGGGCACCTGCTCAAGCTGCCGCGCAGGGCGGCTGCTCAAGCTGCCGCGCCGCAGCAATCGCTTCAATCACCAGCCCTTGTTCTCGCCCTGCCTTTAAAGCGTGCTTATCAAAGCATGTCACCTTTGGGTCGAGCCGATGGCGCGAACTGGAAACAATCGCATGCAGTGGACAATCGTTTGCAGCCGCTGTTTATTGCTGGGACTCCTCGCACACGTCGGTCTGCGGGATGTCTGGAGTTCGTTGCATCGCCAGTTGTGGAGTAGGAGACTCAGAGGGCCACTGTTTCTGCACCGATCCCGCCTGGACCGTTTGGTTTGAGCAATGCATTTGACGTCTGCAAAGTATCGTATTTGCTCCAGGCAGGGGTGGATATGGATGGCTGAGAGCGTGCGTATCATCTCACTAACACGGGCGGTGGCTGCCGTACTAGAAAAATGCACACTAATTGTTCACGCCAGCGCTTTCAGGCAAGGACTTATTCTGATGCCAAAGTAATAGGACAAGCGTTTGCGAAACCCGTGGCTTGCCGTTAAGGCCCCCAAAATAAGCGTTCTTTTTACTCCCAAGACGCCTTCGTCTCCTTTTTTTTACCTATTCCTCACTTCATGCTCTTGGTACTTTATTATTTGGTCTAATGGGACCAATTCCGCAAGCGAAGTGACACTTTGGTAAGTCATGAAACAAAAACGTTTCTGTAGTGAATTTCAGTGACTGGTTTAGCAGACGATACCTGACGACAGGCGGTGTGGTTTCGCCTTTGCCTATCCTTTTTCCATGCATTTCACCTTCTGCGCCGAATGAGGCCCACGTATGAATGGGTTGCGTGCAAAGGGTTTCCCAGTACCCTTTTCAGCCCATTATATGCCGGTATGTTGCTGGTGGGCTGTTATTATACATTGCCAACAATGTTCTAGAGAACGAAAAGTAGGCGGCTTCTGACTATAGTACCACAGCACAAATCAGGCAGAAAACCATTTGTATATCAGGTGGCAGGTAGCTGAATGGTAGGTGGCAGGTGGCTCATTCAGGCGGCATGTGGCTGAATTTCACACCGCGGCTACAGTGTAAAGTAGCATTTCGATACCCTGTTTTGGATCTTGACGTAATATGTCTGTGGTTACCTTTAGCTGCGGAGACCACGGCGACTTCGTTGCAACAAGAGCGAAAGTGGCGACGGGTTCTGCCACTTTGAGCGGTTCCATCTAACCCGCGGAACTCTTGGGTTTTAAAAGGTTTCGCGGACGTGTCGTCACGCAGCCTCCAAGCAGCGTCAGCGTCTGCCGTCGCTGCCAAGGGGCCCAGGATCGTCAATCGGAAATTGACGCCGTCAAAAGACATCAGAGCTGAATACTATGTCAACCAAGCCATGCCGCTCTGGCTAATTTCTGTATACAACTTCCACGAAATATTGGCTGGGTTAACCCTGCCCGGCTGCGTACATAAATAAACGACCATCTGAAACCGATAGGCCATGGGAATGCGACCAATGCTGTGCGGTTACTGCATGGCTGTCTTTGGAAAGGCGAAGCAAGTCCATGGGGTGGGGGGGGGGGGGGGGGCGTGGAAACAAATCCATGGGCAGGGGCAAAGCAATCCCATTGGGGATGGCCGAGGCGTGCCAAACCCAGTATCGCCTTTGTCGCGCATTAGCTCGTATCATGGGCGTGCTGCAGCAGCCATCAGGGATTTTCGGTGTTCTCACGGCGGCCCGCGGCATCGCACTGGGGGTGTTTTTGGTCAGAACTGGAGCGGTGCCCCACCAGCACGCCGGCAATACGCCAGCACTGCCAGCAACGGGACTATCGCGACGCCTCGTCTGGTGGAAGAAACAGCGATTCGGTTCAAATCGCCGAGACGTCTTGCACATAATTTCATTGAAGAGAAGAAAAGCCCTTGCGAGAGAGCATATAAGGATGCATAATTTAGGCCTGAATAATGTCCAGGGCAATCTTTTTCCAAACGCCACCCGTGGGCTCCATGTAACGACTCAGAGATGTTGGGTACGGGACACAGACCGTCTAAAACATGTGACGGATTCCCTCCTCTCTGGCTACTGGCCCCATCCGTCGGCGATCAGCCCCCGGTACTCCTACGGGCTCTCTCCCAGGCCTCCAGTGCAGCAGTTTAAATGTGCAGCGGCTTTCGCGGAAGCGAATGTATAGATAACACTATAAACCAATGGAACTGCCTTAAGCCTGGCACTCGCGTTCTCCGTTCCGCTGCAGGACTTCTGTTTGGCGCTTCAGTAACTTGACGGCGTCGCACGTCACCTTCGGCCTGACCTTCAGTCGCACATCCAGACCTGCGGCCGCGCGGACGGGCCCACAACTAGCCAAACGCAGCGGGACGGGCGCAGGGCGGCGGCGGCGACGTCACGCAGCGGGCGGGAAAACCGGCGCCGTGTCGGCCGGCCGCCGCCGGTCTGGGCGTGTCAGAAGCCGTGCGCGCAGTCGCACCAGCCGCGACCGTCGTCCGCCGCACGGGCCAGCTGCCGAGTGCGGGATGTCGCGACTGGGGACGCGGTCTTTTCCTCGATGTTGGCCCGTCGAGCTCGAGAGACGTGTCGCGTGAGGCAGACGGCGTGTGGATGTACCTGTCACGTCATCCTGACGAGCCGCCTGCAGGGGCAGAGCCAGAGGAGGCATGAGGCGGCGGTTCCGAGCATGTGTGTACCCAACCTCCTGTACCCACCAAGTATGTGCCATGCTCTCCCTCTGGACCAAAAGCTTTCGGTGTCCTTTCCGTCGCCAAAAGCCTATAGTGAAGGGGCACCAAAATTGTCATTGCGAAACTGGGTGAGTACCCTTTATTTATAAAAGGCACCAAGTTCCAGGGGGCACAACAAATGACTCCAAATCTTCCTTTTTGATGGGCGCCAAAGTCAAGAGGCACTACAATGTCTGGGCCGTGTTCTCTGGCTGTATTTCGGATATGTACATGGCTACATTTGGCGAATGAGTAACAAAACAATCCTTTCGAAGCACCATAACCCTTATTTTTAAGAGGTACAGAATGTCAGGGGCACCACAGGGCCACAAACCTGGATTCTCGAGGGTACCACATCCAAGGGCAAAACAGTGCTATGACTCCCACCCTGACGAAATCCTGGATCGGTCCCTCAAGCGAGGGGCGCCAAAAACCTTGAATTGCGGGCGTCACAACCATTATTTTCAAAGACCCTAGATCCAAACATTTAAAGGGCCCGAACACTTCATCCTAAGGCGGAATCAGAACCGAGGGACACCATAACTTCCGTCCCTTTCACTCTGAAATTCTGCATGGGTCCGTCTGGCGAAGGGATACCAAAGCATTCATTTTGGAACCTGCCATCTTTATTTTTCACAGGCATCCAGTTTCAGGGGCGCTACAACGAGCCCAAAATCCTCAATTTTCCAAGTGCAACAAATTCCAGCTGCACCACTTGTCCAGGTGCCTTTGCTTTGAAGAAATCGTGGACCGGTCCAACCAGCGTGGGGCATCGAAACCTTAACTCCGAAGCACCATAACCTTTATCCGAAGAATTGATTGAATACCAAATTATCAAGCAAATGCAAGACTGTCGTCTAAAGTCACATAATTATAGATTACACTATCCGTGCCACTTTTCATGTCTCGTCAGAAGAGTCGCAAAACCTTATAATAAATAAGTGGAGATTAAAGATATGCGCATCTGAGAGAACTCAAAATAAGTCTTCGTTCCAACATTGAGATAAATGGCGCTGGAAGATCAAGCAGTCTCTTGCAAAGTAAACCACTGAACCAAACTCTCCCCAAAAAAGTGCCGAGCCATACAGGCGCTCAAGAATAGCAACACCATCGTCATATTACCAGCAAACAATGCCGACTCTACCAGTATAACAAATGAAGCTTTACTTCCGCCAAGAACAAACGAGTCATGACCAAATGACTTAAATTCCAGTGGGCAGTGAAACTATGGCAAGCCAAATAAAGCGAAAAAAACGCTGGCGACAAAGTGGTCACTCACTAAAGTTCTGAAGACCAGCAACTTAGAGCAATTGACGGATGCAGCACGACGCACACAGCTGAGCCATCGTCGCAGGCGATGGATACCACGCTGGGTACGTGTTGTGATCGGGAACCACGTCACCACCGGTAAGTCAGTAGAGCCATGAACACAGCGAGGCTGTCGCGGTGGGTGACAAGGTCACAAACACCGTGCCATCTCAACGCTTGGAAAGTCGTCGTCATCTGATCACGCTAACGAACTTCGGTGCAGATCCTGGCCCCAAAGCTTAACATCGCTTACGCTCTGTTTAGGTTTCGCGCTGCAGCCTGCAGCGTGCCAGGATGATGTATAAAAATGAAATATAAGTGAAGAAAGATGACCTACTTACAATAGGTATATACATCATATCTGCTAAGCAAGCTACATTTTTTAAACTGAATTTTCGGCGATAGACCTTGCTTACAGACTCGAAAAGCTCAAACATTCCCAACGAAGAGACTTCTTCGAAGGAAGACTCGCGTTCAGCGTAACAGTAACATTGTAGTCAGACGTCCAATGCTACCAATGGATGAAACAGCTATTTATTGTCATGGCCAGCGGCTATTGGCTCACCACTGTCACCAACGACTGACAGCACATACATGAAGCATGAAGCTGAAGCTACAAGGCTTAGCGTTGGACATAGCATTACAGCCAACAGCAGAGTTTCGATGCGTTGGCTAGAAACACGACATCTGGCGGCAGTGGGACGATGTGCCCGGACTTCTGAACCGCATCCACGGGCCGCGACTGTCATTCCACTGCGGAGCATGGAAACAAAGCAGAACAAAAAAGACGGAAAACGAGACGCTGTCAGTCCTCAACGTACGAGTGAAGAGGATCGACAGCGTACTCTCGACATCGGTGTGTTGCAAGCCGACAGCAGCCGGTTGTGTTTGAACGCTGATTGCCACCTCACGGATCTCGCCAAAGAAGGAGTGACCGGATGTACTGCAGCTGCAAATCGCGTGGAAAGCTCCAGCAGGGAGACGAAATCGGAACAGAGAACATGAGCTATGTCGTTGAAACTATTCAAAGCAGCGGCTACTTGACAGCCTTTATGCAATAAACGCCAAGACCATTCATCAGCACTGAACAGCTCAAAGACGCCCCCTCCGGACCGCATCACTTCCACACAGCAGGGCAGCTCAAAGACACCCCCTCCGGACCACATCACTTCCACACAGCAGGGCAGCTCAAAGACACTCCCTCCGGACCACATCACTTCCACACAGCAGGGCAGCTCAAAGTCACCCCCTCCGGACCACATCACTTCCACACAGCAGTGGTCAGTCAGAGTCGATTCAGGGATGTGTGGGCGTCACATCAGAACGGCCTTCAGGGACGAGACAGCATGACAAACCGCCGCCAAGGTCAGGTCAACGGCCATTACGGAAAACATTTAACAGTCTAATTCCGTATACGACGTTCCATGCGACCATGAAAGGTCAAACAAGGAAGGAACAGGCCATCCACGAACAGCGGAACTACAGATCTACAAAAAACCTGCTGCAAAGCAGAGAAGCTTGACATGACAAAGCATGGTTGGGTTGAAGGAGACCATTGGTGGGCAATACAAATAAATCATGCCAATAAGACGCACTAAAAAGACAATAAAAATAAAAATAAAATGAGGAAAGGCACGCTGGCAACAGTTCCTAGTCACATCAGCAGCCATGATGCAAACGCATGATGAAAACATCCATCGGCCACCATCAACGACCATGATGCGGACTCTTTGCAGTGCCTGACCATCACTCAGCCCAATCAAAGCTCGCGTCATCAACTTTGTCAGAAACTGCAGAAACCAAGCAGCAAACCCGCTCCGCTTTGTGGAATACAAATGCTCACATGAATCGCCTTAAGCTCCCGTTATGCCGCCAAGTACCTGGATGAACACCTCCATGGTGGCTTCAGGCTACACGGTTCCGCCCGGACCAGCGATATGTCATAACCCCAGTCCGACTGCGAGCCCGGGTAGCCCAGATAAACCGAGTTCACAAGTTGACATGACCTGCAGCCGCCAGGCACTGTGGCCTGTCAGGCACCCCGCGCTGTACGGTTCCTAGTGTGCGTGTAACCGAGCTCGTTAAAACATCAACAGTCGATCCGCCGTCACGCCAGCTTTTGGCACCGCGTTCCCGTGCAGATCACCGCAAAAGTGCGTCCTTTGCAGGGCTCCGGAGCGCGACCGTCGCCGGAGCCCCAACGCTGGGCGGGTGGTCCTGCACCCTGGCGGCGCGTGGTGCAGCCCACCGGGCCCCCATCCCCTCCCCAGATTTGAGGGCCTGCAGGAGGTGTATAAAGCAGCAGCCCGGGCCGGCTGCATCCCGGAGCAGATCTCAGCTCTGTCCAGGATGGCGCCGATCCTGCTGTTGCTGACTGGCCTGGTGGCTGCCGCCTTCGCCACGAGTGAGCCGTACCGGCAGAGTAAGTGTTGTGCTGGCTCCCTTCTTAAAGCGTTGTGACGGCCTTTGTGTGAGTACTCAGAAGCTGCAGCCAATTCGAAGCCCTGATGTCTCGATCTGAGCTCGAGTCTCTTGCACACTCTTTCAGTACTTAGAATTCACGTGTTTTTACAGGTAATGCCGGAGGGATTGACAAACGGCATTGTCGAAACGGGTTTTTGATTTAGTGCATGGAGAAAAATAGAACGATGCTTCGTTTCTTTTCTGAGCAAAGTAGGTTTAAGTCTTAGTTTGGCCCAGGTGGAGCCAGTGCTCATATTGGAGTGACGAAAAGGGGAGGCCAGGCCCCATAGTGAGCGCTGTTGTCGGCCACAAGGCTGCCTGCGCTCAAGCATGCTGTCTATATAGCATATGTGTACGCGTCCCCTAAGTGTATCTGATTTTCAAAAAGAGGGAAAGTAGAGACACGTTGCCGAAATGAAGCCCACCGCCGTACCGTCACCTGACACTCCGCTGTTAGCGGCCACGGTCTCAGTGTAATACAGGGCCCCTTCGCCGGTACTTTGTCATTCCTGGACCCGCCGCGGCACGTTCGCTTGAGATGCTGTTGACTGCGCAAAAATGAAGGGTGAAATGCGCAAACATACAAAAGTGTGTAAGCGTAACGTCTCAGCTTGTGGTCTCGTAACAGCTGTCACGCTCCGGGTGACATGGGCCCTCCTTGATCCCATTGGAGGTGCTCGTGTACGACATGTTTCTTTCGCTTCACCCGGTTTAACAAGTGCATGTATTTTCGTACGCTTTCCATTGAGAGCCGCTGTGGTGCTTGCATAATTTTGAGGTAATGTTCGTCCGCACCCTGAAAACCTGCACCTGAAAACCAAAACCGACTAACGCTTCTTTGACACTGTACACGTCAATCGAATGCGTATATTTGGACTAAGTGCATATCTCTTCATCCTGATATGAAAAAATACCCTTCATTGGTGACCTGCAAGGTGTTTCGCACTTTCTGAAAGCTCTTATTTTTGAGCCTGGAACCCCCGTCCGCTGTGCTTCTTTGCCATAGCGCGATAGCCATACTCATGCTGCATTCCGTTTTATTGACCGGAAATACCAGATTCTCCTGTGAGAGCGGGGAGCCTTTCATCCCAGAGATAATCCACCATCGTGGCACTGATCACCATATTTCTCTTTCTTAATTTCCCCGTCTTACACCGGGCCATGGAGCCGTTCATGCGCTTATCAGTGTACAACTCATTTGGACACAGTTAATAAGAAATATTTTACTTGATGCAAGCAAGCAAGGCCTTTATTTCCCGTTTTTCGGCATTGTAGCACTCTAATTTCTGAACCATACGCTCGCAGATATGTGTAAAATATATCTTGCAGACTATTTCAAGGCCATTCAGGCAGGTGTGTCACCATGACAGCGTCATTCAAATCCTGCTGCTCCATAACCCATGCTATGTTTGAGACCAGGAAGAATATTATCGTCCAAGCCGTTCAGATGTGGCGTCCGCGAGCACGAATAGAGTTGACGTCTACTGGCTTTCAGTCAACGCGGAGCAGGCTGTGTGAGCTTCAGTCATGAATCATATTTTGTGCTATATAGTATAAGAAGCTGGACATGGTCGCTTCACTTGCCGGTTATTACGAAAATGGAACTCGCAATTGCATAACTTAAGAATAGCACCATTATTGAGTAAGTGAATACAAGTAAGCATCTTAAAATGGCGGATGAGTATGCAACACCACGAGAAGGAACCCAAACACGAACACATAACGATATTTCGCTCAGCGAACACTTCCTGCACCTCTTCTGGCATCTCTCGCCATTTTGAAGTACTACGAGTGGGTGCTAAGGTGTCAATTTCGCACGACCAGTTTGGCAGCACCTCAACGTTATAGAAACGCTCTAAGACGCAGTCAAACAACTCGTTCTAAAGAGTTCTTTTTTGCTAAATGGGGAAATCTTGTTTTCTAGAGCAGCCTTTTCCACTTCTAAGTATATCAATAGCTTAAGTAAGCTTACTTCACCATACATTATGCGTGCTTCAATATCGTCAAATTTGGAATATTCCTTCAAACGGTTCCCCCCATTGTCGGCACATCCAGTGTACTAGTCACCACCATCTGTAATGAAGTCCAGGTGGACACCGGGTGTGTTTCGAAAGATGGCAAACGCTTTGTCACCGATTCCGAGGGAATATGAAGAGCTGGGCACGCAGCACGACAAGAGGTCACCAGACGTGCAGGCATGATACTTGACGTGGGACCGCACGCACGCCATTGAAGCAATTAAGAAAAAGTTATCAATCAAACTGCAATTGGATGGAAGAAAAAATTCAAAATCCATTGCAGGCCTTAACAAGAGCGTCAAGGCCAGAAGTGGTGCTGGGGAAGTCAGAGTCAGAACATGCCAAGCTACACTCCACAAGGACGTAAGGCGAAGGACCACGTCAAAGAACTGATCATTACGTTGTGATGAATGCATCGCACGCATCGATGCACTGGGCTACGATAATGCATCGGCAAATACGGGCATGTATAGACAAGTTTTAAGGCGACTTGAAATGTCCCAACAGCGATCAAAACTTCCACTTGTTCGTCAGCTGCACGCGGATGAGCTGGGCCTCCGTGTTCGAGTACGGCGACGGCGGCAGTAGCGGAGCGCATTTTTCACATGTCTCCTGGCAAAGCGACGTCAGGATCTGTGGATACACAGTCCGTGGAGACTTTTGGGGCGGCGAAGGGATTCGTACAGAGCCAGGCGAAGACTTGCTGGCAGAGGCTAGCCACCATCGGTGGCTGCTATGTGATATGGTTGCTGCCGTGCGGCGTGGAGCTGCCGCAGAATCATCACGGAATGCATAAGTCACATAATCACGCTGGGTAAGAGTTTCCCCGGTTAAATGATTGGTTGGTATCGCCCTGCATTCCAATACGTCCCTCTCCGAATTCTTTGTCTATGGCGGGTGACGTCGAACTCAGATTACAGGCTTTTGCCTGTGACGCTCTTCATTCAAATATTGCCAACTTTTGGTCAAATGTGATTAATTGCACCAAATCACTATCGGGGAAAAGTATGCTCGGTGGCTAAGTTGCCGGTGCAGTAATGCACGGGCCTTTCATAACATTAGTCGGTATCCACATGCTTTTTTGTGACGTCAGCCGCATGTGCTGCTGTCCCCCATCATAAAAACCTCCACTTTTCCCGTTAAATTCGAACGACTGATGCGCACCCATGATCCCACCAAGTAAAAGTGATGAACATTCCCGTACTAAATTCAGTTCCGTGACATTGCAGTTATGCAAGGTACAAAACTTACGTCGTCGTGAAATCGGCTAGCATGTGCCGCTCCGCGACATTGATGAGCTGCTGGAAGGGTGATTTCAATTTGTCACATGTTTAGATTTATGGCCATCTTATATACACATCAGTCTGGTGCATTCTGTGTTTTGTCAGCGCCGAGGAGCAGGCAGCTCTGTATCAGCGGGACCGGCGGGTTGCCGGGTCGCCCCTCGCCAGCGTGCTTGGCAGTGGCTGGGGGCACACGCTTGGCCGGGCGGCCAGTGTTTACGGCTCGCCCTGTCCCGAGCACCGTGGATGGCGTGACTGGCTGCGCTAACGCTGCACAGCATCCAGGCGCCGCCCGTGGCTTAGTGTCTAATCTGGGCGGATTACGGCGGCTGGCTTGCACATTTTCGTGGTACCACTTTTCATGTGACATTGAACATGTGCTTTCTAAAAAAGGAGCTTGAGCAACAACCTGGGCAACGTGGCGTCCCGCCGGCGCTCATCAGTCCAGTTTTCAAATGATGGTACAGCGACGCATTCATAAACAATGTACGCCAAAACTCCCAGTTCTACGTTGAGCGGTAGCCTGCTCAATGGTTTGCTGATATCTCCGTTGCAATATGCGTGAATGTTCAGTGTGCCCATGTCTTTGCACTGAACTGTTGCGAAGCTCCCCTGACTCGTCCCAGGTATCTTCCTATTCTCTCTGGATTCTGACTATTCTGGCGACTCCAAGCATATTGACTGCTAAGAAGCCTGCTTCTCACCGTTCCCTGAAACGGGCAATATGAGCATCCCCAACCGCACCGATGGCTCTTGATAGCAAGAGCAGCAATGGAACCCGGGGGGCTCAAACTGCTGAACGCTTTCACCATCTCATCGGCCCCTGGAGCCTGGGGATATTCTCGTTATTGTTGGATGTTAGCGGAGAGGGGTGTCAACATTGTTGAAGACACATTGGTCAGAGTTCACCATGCAGCTTCCGTTCCCTTTCCAAGTTCAGTCAAAGCGAGTCTACTCGCTAAGGTCATTTTTGAAAGTACAGCATTGCTATTGACACCCAGTGCTTGCTTCCAGTCTCTTGCCGATACGGCCAATCCTATTTGGACCAGTGCGAGAACAGATGCAACTGCATTCCTGACGGAAGCTACCGGTGCACGCGCAAGGCGTGCCACCCCGGAAGCATCGCAAAAAAACCCATGCGCTGCGAAAGGGAGGGGGAGATTCGCATACAGAATCTTATCCGGTACTTCTGCCACGGCACATTCGTCCGGTTTGCGGCAAGTGAGTGGCGTCCTTTGAACAGAAATTAGGTCTTAATGTTTCCTTGTCGGTTCATGTTGATGTAAGCTCAGCTTTTGCCAGGGATCCTTCCAGCCGCATACTGCAAAAAATACCCGACATAAATCTGAGCCTCATCTGCCAGACTCCACGGAGCATCCACCATCTCAATGTGGCTTAATAACCTAATGATCACAGAAAATAACCAAACAAGCTTAATTTCATGTTCCAATGACACGTCGACCATTTCACCAGGGACTAGAGGGTTAAATGCGATGGCTCGTATGTGTTTAATGGACTTGTTTTTGTCCGCCTTTTCAAGCTGTCAGCATATCTTGGGCAATATTTTTCGTAACTGTGCCTTCATCTGGTGCAGCTAACCGCCCAAACACGTGCACTCCTGGTGCATCCTGGAAAGACGCGTGCAACGCCTGCTCCTGCTCCCGCGATGGGCGGATTGTCTGCACCGAGGCTGCCTGTGGCGTTATCCAGAACCGTAAGTCCGGCACCACGGGCTTGGAGTATATATGAACGAAACTCAGGTAAAGCCGAAATGTCTCTGATTAACTCTGGAGATCACCAGGAAGGAGTGGCAGGGGGAGCAGAAGGCCGAATGGGCGCGCACTAAGCAGTGGGACCGGGAGCAGCTCTGCCCGGCCATCTGCCCAGGCCCGGCCGCCTCCAGGTTGAGCTGCCCGGGTATCATTAGCTCGAGCGAGGATGACGGCAGGGCTCGCCCGCGGCACGGCCGCTCGGCCTCTCGGGATTCTGGAACATCAATGGTACGTGCTTCACGAACACGGTGCTGCAATGCCTGAGCAACTCACGCGCTCGCCATGACTACCTCCTGCGAGACGAGTACCTCAGAGGCATCAGCACGACCACCTCCGCCATGAAGCGTGCTCTCATCAGAGCATTTGCCACGCTGGTGCGATACATATAGAAGAGCCCAGATGAGGCTGCCCAGGCGCTGACCACCTCCTCATTAAAGGCACTATTCCAACATTTTATGGCACAATTCATGGACTACCAGCAGCAGAACGCACAAGAGTTCCTCAGATCGCTGCTGGAGGCCCCGCACGAGGGCCTCGAGGGCCACGAGGGCCCCGCACGAGAACCGTGTCGACAACCAAGCCGAGATCCATCCAGAACCCAGCCGAAAGTCACCCACATTGATGACAGCCTCAGTGCTAGCCAGTTGGAAACCGCCTGAGGCCTGGGAGCATTTCCTCTTCCTGAAGAACTCGACGTTCGTCGACCCGCTTGTCGAATAGCTCAAGCCTACGCTGCGGTGCGCGGTATGTGTCCACGCGTTCGTGAGGTTTGGACCTTTCTGGGATCTGAGCATGCCAATCCCATTCATGACGAGTCAGGCGCGCTGCTTTAACCCTTTTACCAGGGAGAAGATGCTTGGCGGAGAAGAAAATCACACGTGCTCCACGTGCACTAAACGTCAAAACTACTCCCAGAACATCAAGATCCAGAGGCACCCACACACGCTTGCAGTACGCCTCAAATGGTTCTTACTGCAGCTGGATCAGAACAGGCACAAGCTCAAGACCACAGTGAACTTCTCCGCCAGTGGGCTGGACCTGTCGCCGTACTCTACCATATCGGGATAATGGGTTTATGAGCTGTACGGCGAGACACAGCATTCTGGGTGGCGCACGCGGGCAACCGCACGGCCCACTAACAGGCCAGTAAACGGCCAGTAAACACTCTTATTCGGGAGTATGGCACGTCGTCACGCGCACGCCAAGTCGTTCATGGCATGAACGTCTGGATGTGGAAAAACGGAAAGCAAAATAGTCAGTTGTATCGTATGAAGTGTAACCACATGTCGTTTGCAAAGTGTTGTGGTTATGTAATGTGTTATCGTCTGTAATGTTTCTAATGTATGTGCGTCATATGTAAGAATAAAGAGATTAATGTGAATGCCGAATAAAAGCAATCTGAGTGAAGGAAAAAACGAAGTCAAAATGTGATCGCCACCATTGATAAAGGTTCCCTTGCTACCCGCCCACGCGAAAGATCCGGTGGGCGACTAATGCCACAACTGTGGCTCCTCCGGTGCATGCGCCGGCCCTCTGTGACTCCCAGACTGTCACTGGTCGCCAACACCCACAGCGATCCCGGCCGGCGGCGGCGCCAGCGGGGGCGGCGGGACCAGCCGCTACTGCGGTAACCCGTGTCCGCCTGACTGTGTCGAGTCGCTGGACGAGAGCCGCCAGTGCCTCCTCTGCCAATGCAGTCCCAAGCTGGACTTCGGCGACCTGGCGGTGCCGGGCTCGGAGCCGTGCCCCAGAGGTCTCCAAGAGGCACCTAGCTTCTTCGGCCTCAAGATCTGCAGGGGGCAAGGTGAGCCACAGGTTCGGCGACCGTTATTTCACCGTGCAGGCGTTTGTGAGCTATGACTTTATGAAAAAGAATGCTGACAAGCGCGTCTCCAAGGCCGTGCGGTGAACGGTGCGGCAGAAGCACCACTCTAACATCACAACAGCAGCAATCGTGAGTAAATTGTTGTTCCGGTTATCACTTTTCCACTTCAGTGCTCCCTGAGCGGTCAGAATCGGCCCCACAATCTGCATTGCGCGACAAACGACTGTTTCAAACGGTCACTCCGCATGTTATCCATGCTGTTGAGTCCGCATCTAGTGATACAAGACGCGAAGCCACTTCAGTTCTCACATTTCCGTGCGATGCTGTTGTGTTTGGTGGTGCACTACAGCCAGGTTATCACGGGCGATTGGATCCGTTTGCGCGGGGCCATCGCGACTGAGGGGCCGCTTGCCCGCAGGATGTACTCCTGGCGCCAGGTGGAAGGTCAACGACGACTGCAGCTCGTGCGTGTGCACCAATGATGGCGAGCCCGCCTGCACTCCCTGCAGGAGACCGATTCCCGGTGAGAACAGCAACGTGCAATCCGTCCCGGACGCTCTCCCACCTCCGGCGAGAAACTGATGAGAACAACCGCGTTGTCTGTTTGAGGCAGCTGGCTGGTGGGAAGGAATCCATAGACTGATGCGATGCGATCAATGTCAACCAACGCGTTAGGATTGGAGGAGCAGACTGGGCCGTTTCTTCACATACCGCGCAGGCACCACGTGTGTGCCGCCGGCAGCGCTGTGTAGGTGGTGACTCGACGGCCCTGCCGCCCCTAGAGGCGCCGGTGACTTGCGAGGGCGGCCATCCCAGATGTCCACAAGACTGCGGCAGCGCTTTCAACGAAGAGAAGAACTGCCTCGACTGTAAATGCGTCGTCGGCGAGCCCGGCGACGTCAGCGTCCCCTTCGGCGAGCCGTGCCCTCCGGGGACAGACTTCAGGGAGTCGGGAGCCTTCTTCAAGGCCTGCGGCCCGATCGACTCGCTGCGTGAGCATGGAGACAGGTGGCGAGGATGCGCACCGCACAGCCAGCACCATCACAGCAGCGAGACGCGTTACACTCTCGGGGATTTAACATCACAAATGCAATACGAGTTGGATGCGTATTGAAACATCCAGAGTTCAGAATGCTCGCTGGTTTAAACGTGCAAAAAATTGTTCTCTGCCAGCTAGCGCTAGAAGAGAAGGGCGTGATTATGGTCACAAAGGCAGGGAGCAAGTCGTAGCTACGCTTGACTTTAACAAAATTGACACGTCCGCGTTCACAGTCGGTATGCCATGGCAGCCGCGTGTTTGCCACCTGGCTGTGACACTTCTCTGACATTCGACGCGCGCGATCGAGAAGAAATCATGCATGAATGATGTGGAGCGACCAATCAGCAGCCTTCTTCCATTGGCGAATCGATCGCATCACAGGAGCGTGGCGCTGACAGGGGTCCTCACTGTCCTGTCGGCAGCAAAAGGGGACACAAAGATCTGCGAGGGTCCGCGGCCTCGCTGCCCGCCCAAGTGTGACCTGGTGCGCTCTTCCGAGGCTGAAGGCTGCGTCTACTGCCAATGTGGACCAGTGCTAGCGCAGGGCGACGAGGTCATACCGATTTACGAGCAGTGCAGATCACCGCTACTGCCCGGACCCACCCAGCTGACCACCAGAGTGTGCAAAGCGCCCACCAAGAAGGGTGAGTGGACCCCGAGCAGCCGCCAGGCGGGGTGAGTGGTCCCCGGGCGGCTACCTGGGGCGGTGGCGGGAGGGGGGAGGGGGAGTGGTTCCCGGGCGGCCACCAGGCGAGGTGAATAGTCCCCGAGCGGCTACCCGGGGGGGGGGGGGGGGGGAGGGTAAGTGGTCTTCGAGCGGCCACCGGGCAGGGTGAGTGGTTCTCGAGAGGCCACCAGGCGGGGTGAGTGGTCTCCGGCTGTTTCATAGGCACGGCCAGTGTACTTCGGCCGATGCCCGGTCATATGATGCTGTCACTTGCTATAGCACATGCCAGACACTGCCTTCTCGAGCCCCGCTGATCATTGGCGTATGCAAGCTCTAGCCAGCCTGTGGCCATTGGGGGTGAGGTGGGGCTGGAGGAGGGGTTGATTCTACCCAACATTTAAGGAGTATATGGTGGTCAGGATCTACTCGCTGACGATGCCTTTCACTCCTCCCCATGTTTGGAGGCTCTGGCCGTTTCACACGTATCGCAACGAGCTCTCAGGATCCAAGCCATTAGATTCAAAACTCGTGATCAGTGATCAGTGATCGGTGATCGGTGATCGGTGATCAGTGATCACAAACGCTGCACTGTTGCTGACCCAGCCTGACTTCACACGGCGCGGCGCGGCGTGAAACGGAGCCCTGCGTCAACGCGAGCATGCCTCGTTTCAGAGTGTTTGCCGGGTACCGTCTACAACGTGCAGTGCGACATCTGCCTATGCCAGGCCGACGGTGTTCCTGCCTGCACCAAACGCAACTGCAGCGAACCCAGTAAGTAGTGCTCCGTCTATCCAAGCTGCGCCCGGCCGGGGCGAAGCTGGCTTCCCAGCGAGGTTTCTCGAACAGAACTGAAGAACGGACGCTTCCAGCAACACCACACTTTCAATGCCTGCTCAACTAGCCATTTGACACCGCTTGTCTAAACTTAAAGCTTTGATCTTTCAAGGTCAGTGACCTAGGTTAGATCAAAAGAGATAAAGCTCTAGGAAGCTTTGACCACGCACAACGTTTTTTGTGCATTGTTTGCCATTGCTCAAACATGCCATGTAATAGAAGATGGAAGTACCTAGAGTATTTTCATTTCAGCTCTTTCTCGAAACTGGTGAGGACAGTGACCTGTCAAAGCCAATTTCTACCATTTTCCGTTGAAAGTGCACATTTGTATTTGTATTTCTGCATAGTTTTGGTGTTAACGTGTGGGGAAAAGAGTATAAACTCATAAGTGCGACCATCATATGACCACAGCGCATATAACATTTACCTAGTCTACGGGCTACCTCCATGTGTGCCTTCTACAAAACACATGTTGAGCTCAAAATAGGCTGCGCTATTATGTAAGTTTGGGCCATAGCTCAAACACTTGTCTGGAAACACGTTCTGATATCATTCTAATGCATAGTGGGGTCACAATAGACCACGGGAGGACACACAATACCTTATGAGGTTATCCAAGGTCAATGAAATATATTATCAGTAGCGGAGGAGGGGAGGCTAGATGAGCGATTGCGGCGCAAAATTTGACGTAAATTTACCTCAGCTGACCTCTAGGCTGCCAAAAATGGTATTTTTGTGTGTGTGGGATACTCTTGTCCCATAGCCGCGCCTAACATAATAAACTTACTGGAAACACATTGTGGCAGAAAAAAGCACCGTTTTTATAAGTTACTAGTAGACATACTAAACGGTGACATGACCTGACTTGACCCAGCCCTTGTGGGGGAACAAAACCGGCTTGAATGATCCCCCCCCCCCCAGTCTCAACGTTTAGTGCTGCGCCGTCAATATTCGTCTTGACGTATTGATATGTTTTAACTGCATCTAGCAGAACTACCGTTTCCTCCTTCCTTGAGCTCTGGCAGCCTCACATTTGAGCTAAGGTTAAAAATTTGGTGTGCATTCTCCATTTTTTTGGAGGGACCTTCATAACGGTATCGTTGTCATTCTCTTACGAGAACGGCAAAGATTCCGTAAGTTGGAGATCCCAGGGGGAAGTCTACTTCCTTCACAGCTGGGCGCGGTAGCCCCAGGCCCCCGGCCGAACGCAGGTTAACGCGCTGGTCTACCGGCCAACGCATGAAAAACTTGGGGAGTGTACGGTCAGAGCGAAGGCATAGGTTTGATGTGGAATGGGTCGGAGGTTTGACTGTGACGCGTCACGTTTACGATCATTTGCCAAGGACAATAACCACATGAGTATTTACCAGGTGAAACTTCCGGTTTTCTACAAAGCGATTACATTTTATGATGTTTCTACAAATGGATGCATGCTCCCGTTGAGGCTACCGCATTCAATGGTATTGTTCGTGATCCAGCTTCACAACATCTGCAAACACCTGCAACATTTCCACATTTTTGCTAAGAACAGATGGCCCTGAGCGGTACCCCTGAGCGGCAGCCAGCGGGCTTGATAGTGTGATACAGTGCACCCGCTCCCCTTGCAGAGTACGGTGACCATCAGGAGTGCAGGAGCGGATACCGCCAGTGTCCAGCCGACTGTGGCCTGGCCGGTTCGGACAGCTACTGCACCTACTGCCAGTGCGGCCCGCGGCTCGAAGAGGGTGAGATCGCCATCTCCTTCGACCGGGACTGTCCGCCTGGCTTCACGCTCAAGACGACCCTCCTGGCCAGCAAGACGTGCACGCCAGGTAAAGGGTCGAGGCTCCGCCTCGCCTTGTTGAGGGTTGGCAAAGCGAAGACGGGTTTGTCTGCTTCGATGCAGGAGATCGCAGCGCGCCAGTGACCGATCCTTCGTCTGGACGAATGCCAGTAACACGTGGATAGAAAATGTCGGAACGCGGGAGCAAAGGGACGACAACTGCGAATATGGGAAGAGATTACGCGATGACTAGCATGACATCGCAGAACACGAAAATCCCCTTCAGTGCGTCTCATCCAACAACATCAAATTACGGCCGATGGGCCCGCTGCAGCGTTCTCGAAAATCATACTCTTATATAAAACAGCCTTGCGAACCAAACGCTTCCAGCTTTCAAATTGTTGCCTTCTCAACAGCCTGTGCTCACTGGAGGACTTTTTTATTCACATAACTTTTCATTAATACCCACTCAACAATCATGCAAGCAATCCATACACGTGTTCAAAATCATATGTCTTGCACATGCATAATCGTGGCACACACAAGGTTCACCCCACAGCATCCGCAGTCCAGCCGCGTCAGGACATCGTTCACTGTTCTTAACTCGCCGGCAGGCTTCACCTGACATTGGCCGGGGTCAAATCTTTCCATGTCCCATATTCGTGATACGCCAAAAATACATTGAGATATCGCTGCGAAATTTAGTAGTTTTTACTTGATAAATACTACGTTTTGCATCAAAATGGCAATTATGAGACTAAGATAGATCAAACGTGAGTGATGTCAGAGTGACGTCACGTTTGCAGATGTTTTGACAAAAGCACGTAGCCGCAGACAAATTAACACGGAAGCCGAACGATGAAAGCATATTTCACTTCTTTTAACGGGAACAGTTGGCCAATTAGCTCTCCATTTATGCGCCTCGTTGTTATGCTGTTTTAATATTGCGCCTTGAAAATTGGCATGTCATAAAGCACAAATATCTATGAAAAGTACACTCAACACTTTTTGGTCTCAGGCCTTATAGAATATGAAAACATGAAAAGGGTGCCCTAGATATAGCTATGAAGAATGCCTGTATAACGTTGTCGGCAATTATCTGTGACACTGTTTGAGTTATGGCTTGACATACACCACAGCGCATGCTGGCCGTGCCCAGGTGGCCCGGGCCCGCGGCGGCTAGCGACGGGGTTCAAGTCTGCCGGAAGGTGCGGTTACGGGGCGACGAAAGCCATTTATAGTTTATCGCAAACCGACGACCACGTGTCTGGCGGCAGGGATGAAGGCCACCAGGTTGCGTGTCGGCAGGACTGAACCGTCGAAAGTAACGCGAAAATCGATCCAATCGATTATTCACCACCGAAGTCATCCACTTGATCTTAACCTTCGACGGTTTATGAACGAGCAACAACTCTTGCTCCCGCGTCTCGTGCCCATTATCGCGACTCAGCTCTTCCACTTCGCGTTTAAATGGCTCATATATTGGTAGCATATTATTCCCAGCAAACGTGGTCGTAGTACCAATGAGCAAAGCAATTTCAGTTCATTTTAAAACGCTTTGGCTGGAAAGCGATCCCTCCAAATGTCAGGTCTGCAATTTGTCGTTCACTCCGCCCACCTGCTCGACCTCTGACATCAACTCTGACATCCGGCTCGCAGTACCCCCAGCAGCACACTGCCAGTACGGTCCGTCGTACATCGACGAGTGCTCCAACCTGTGCAAATGCACTGGCGGCGGCTACAGCTGCACGAGGAAGGCGTGTCGGCCCGGCCAGACGACTCAACAACCCTTGACCTGCAACGGCCAGTCGACACTGCCGCGGCTGCCCGGCGTGCGCGTCTTCTGCCACCAGGGCATCGTCAAGGTCCAGCCGTTGGGTAAAGTCCTACCGTCCGTCGTGAGAGATGAGGTCACCATCTGACTCAATTGGCTGGGGAGCAGACTTAGGAGGAGTCGTGGTTGCAAGTGTCGGGCTTGTGCTCGAAATATCTGGGTTCACTTCCCGCACAGCTTCGCCTCAGTAGCCCTCGCTTGCCGACGTTTCCAGAAAACTGCAGATGCCAATGGCTTAGCAGCTGTGAAGTCGATTGACAGCCCAGAACTATTAAACACACACACACATTACCTCAACCCATGAAGTAGTTGAATGGGACAGGCTCATTCCGCCCCCAAACACATGTGGCTAAACAAAGGCCATGCCTCCCGATAATAGCCCAGCGCTGTCCTAGGTGTTGCCAAACTTGACTGGACGCCACCCTGAATTTGTGAACGCTGTCATATGTAATGATATGCCCCCTCGCAAGGGCACAATCAGGATTTTATTAAAGCGTGTGGGTGGGGGGAGGGCGGGGCTCGGAGAATACGCACCATGCCGATTTTCAAATTTCTATCAGTAGCCGTGCATGGTGAAAAACGAAAATTGCGAGTCTAAGGAGAGACCTTGGTCCCCTGGGTCCCTTCACTGGCTGTACCCCAGCTTTCTGGTCCCCTTCGGTAGAAAAAGTATAGGTGGAAACAACCTAAATACGAAGTCATGTGTCTAGGGGGGAGGGGGGGGGGCATTGGGCTCCACAGTCATTCATCCAACGACAAATAGCATACAAACTACAAAACGATGTGCAAAAGCATTGCTTTAATCCTGCTCAGCCGATACCCATCGTCTAACCACGAGCATTGACTTTGTTGCAGATGCGCCGTGTATTCCCAATTCGTGGTTCCTGGACAATGAGTACTGTAACACATGCCATTGCTCGGAGACGGGTATAGCCGCCTGCACCCTGAAGGCTTGCGTCACAGGTACGTGGGAAAACGTCTGCATGTGTGAGGCCTGAGGTTCCGCCTCACCTTGTTTGAGGATAGAAATGCGACGGCGGGTTTGTCTACTTCGATGCGGAGGACCTAATCGCGCCAGTGGTCTATTCTTTTTCTAAATGAATGCTAATAACACATGGGTTGGTCCGCAGAAGCAAAAAGACGACAGCTGCAAAGATGTGATAAGATGATATAATGACTTGCGTAATATCGGCAAAAACAGAAAAATCGTCGTTCAGTGAATGTAATACCTTAATACCACATCGCGGCTAATTGGCACGCTGCAGCGTTCTCGAAAATCGTGCGCAACTAAAACAGCCTTGTGACCCAAATGCGTCTAGCTTTCGAGTTTTGGGCCTCTTTACAGCATGTGCCTACTGAAGGGCTATATTAGTCGCGCAGCCATGAAAAAATACGCGTTACGCAATCATACAAACAATCCCTCCACTCAAGCAAAATGTTGTCTCTTTCTTATGCATAATCTTGACACACACATACCAGCTTCATCTCACAGCATTTGCGGTTTGGTACGCGTCAGGGCATTGTTCACAGCTTTTTGCTTGCTGGAAGGCTTGACAGGGATCTACTGCGGACGGGTATGGCAGTTGGACAATCCGGACAGATGTTAATATTACAACATGATGCATGTAGATCTGGCTTTATGAGTTATGACGTACTTGTACTTCGATCTAGTCACGTTTGTTAAAGAACCACTTCGCTGGCACAATTCACTTTGGCGTTGTGGAGTAAAATGTTATCCATGTCTTTGTTTGAACCCCTTTTCCATCGCAGCACCGCCCAAAGTATAACATGGCCGCCAAGAGGATAACCGATGTCCTATCGCTATCCTCGTCCCCCTCTGGGGACGACCACACTGATCACAACAAGCAGGAGTCCGATAAAGCCACTGATGTGACCTCACTTAGCTTAGATCACTTGGATGCCGTCCAGTGAAAGTGTGCGATCCGCGCGTTCAAAATCCTACGCGTGCCCATCACATCGCCCCAGTGACGACGGACCCTGCAAGGGTTTTCAGTGCGCTGTGAGGCAGGACACAAACTGGTCACGAATGCCACAGCTCGAAGACTGCCCTCGAGGAAGGCATGATGCGTTCCAATGTGCCATGCATAACAGCTGTCAACAACACCACCTGGGCCGTTTTTCAGCTTGTGAAGACCGCGCTATCACTGCCCGAAACCTACCGGTCACCGGTGCAGTCGCATCTACCAATTACCGATATGGATGCCGTGTGCCTTCACGCACCGTCCTTGTCTTATCGCGTAAACACGCGCTTTTTTGGCGCGTGCATATTCTCGACCAACAGTTGTCACTGAAGGGAATTGCAAATGAAATCACCACATTTAGTCTATCCTCTTGTCATTTTGGGATCCACTTCGTTGTGATGTAATACCACAGCAATGAATGACCGCATCGTGTGTTAAAATGCATGAGGATATGATGTTCGATATCTTGCTTTAGCGGTTCAGATCAGTGCGTGTCATGTGTGAAGCAGTCTATGACTTCCGGTGGTACGAAAATGCCCCCCCCCCCCCCCACCCCGGGTATGTGTGCAGATTCGCCCTGCTTGACCCAACCAGTGTGTCAGGCGAAAATTGTTCACCCAGAGAGGAGGCCGAAATGAACTACAACACTTGCGTACGCACCAACCGGGGGATATCTGCATGCATAAGGCGATCCCGCTCTGGAAGGCGTGGGGTCCATGGTAAACTCATAGTCTTAGATGGCGGCTGTTGCGTTGAAAACTCTTGTCACCGCTTGCATTTGCATTTGTGATTTGACATTGTCACTTGGCTGCACATCAACCGCTGACACTATAATGCGTATATCCTGCCATTTTCGCGTTCAAGGCATGCTGTCATGATGCCTCGATGAATCACAGGAGATGAAGCCAAGACAACCGCGACGCCTTTAGAAATCAGTTTTGCTGCCAGCAACACTATGCAAATGCGGTTCACAATAGATAAACAGATGCGTTCCGACCTATCTGGTGCGTGTTCAGCTTGCCAAGATAGAACATCAGTCGGCGTATAAGCAGTAAGTCAGCATTCAAAAGCCAGCGTAGTCCGTTGCCATTACAGACTGCAATAATATGCCGCTGCATAGGTTTCACTGGGCTACAACACAACGCCTGTATACATTCAAGCACAAGTAAGCGCATAAATATAAACGCTCACAGCTTTCTGCAGTGACCATTGCATGCTATCAATGTCTGTTGGCAAATCCAGAGCCTATTGATACTGATGCCACCGCAAACTAAAATCACTGTTTACAGATGGCACAGCATCACACTGTTATGTGAGCACACAAATCCGCAGTTCAGAAAGGGTATAGTACTAGTACGATGAAATCGCAAAGAAGGGCGGTAGCACTGCGCAATGAACACAGAATAAAGATCCGCCAGCCACCTTATCCATCTTTAAAACAAACCACATTTTTAGAATGCGAGAACCGTCAGCAGATACAAATCTAGAATGAAAATAACCGCTACGCCATTTGCAACAGAACACATCTTTTCCTTTGCTCACTCGATGGCAACTTATTCTACATTGAAGCGTATTTGTTCTCAGATCTACCCATCACCCACAAACAGGTGACCGGGAATGCTTCCCCCACGGCACACATAGCCTTACGTTGATAACGGCGTTCAGGACTGAAACGTTGCAAGGCCGCAGCACTATCAGACAATAAATGGGAAACTGATGAATATACCTAAAAATCGAGTGCGCCAAAAGGTGTCAGTAACTCACACAAGGATAGCTGGTTTCTAGGAGAATTATCTCTACAGCAGAGTGCTGCACATCACCGTCTGGTTAATATGCTAGAAATTGTCAGGAACAGCACGTTATCCTAGTATTATGGTAGCATGCGATTTGACCAAGCCTGGTCGTAGTACTGATGAATAAAACAATTTCTATGTATTTGAAACGCCTTGACTGGACAGCGATCCCTCCAAAAGTCGGATCACAATTTGTCTTTCACTCCGCCCATCTGCTCGACCTCTGACATCAACTCTGACATCCGGCTCGCAGTACCCCCAGCAGCACACTGCCAGTACGGTCCGTCGTACATCGACGAGTGCTCCAACCTGTGCAAATGCACGGGCGGCGGCTACAGCTGCACGAGGAAGGCGTGTCGGCCCGGCCAGACGACTCAACAACCCTTGACCTGCAACGGCCAGTCGACACTGCCGCGGCTGCCCGGCGTGCGCGTCTTCTGCCACCAGGGCATCGTCAAGGTCCAGCCGTTGGGTAAAGTCCTACCGTCCGTCGTGAGAGATGAGGTCACCATCTGACTCAATTGGCTGGGGAGCAGACTTAGGAGGAGTCGTGGTTGCAAGTGTCGGGCTTGTGCTCGAAATATCTGGGCTCACTTCCTGCACAGCTTCGCCTCAGTAGCCCTCCCTTGCCGAGGTTTCCAGAAAACTGCAGATGCCAATGCTTTAGCAGCTGTGAAGTCGATTGACAGCCCAGAACTATTAAACACACACACACATTACCTCAACCCATGAAGTAGTTGAATGGGACAGGCTCATTCCGCCCCCAAACACATGTGGCTAAACAAAGGCCATGCCTCCCGATAATAGCCCAGCGCTGTCCTAGGTGTTGCCAAACTTGACTGGACGCCACCCTGAATTTGTGAACGCTGTCATATGTAATGATATGCCCCCTCGCAAGGGCACAATCAGGATTTTATTAAAGCGTGTGGGTGGGGGGAGGGCGGGGCTCGGAGAATACGCATCATGCCGATTTTCAAATTTCTATCAGTAGCCGTGCATGGTGAAAAACGAAAATTGCGAGTCTAAGGAGAGACCTTGGTCCCCTGGGTCCCTTCACTGGCTGTACCCCAGCTTTCTGGTCCCCTTCGGTAGAAAAAGTACAGGTGGAAACAACCTAAATACGAAGTCATGTGTCTAGGGGGGAGGGGGGGGGGGGGAATTGGGCTCCACAGTCATTCATCCAACGACAAATAGCATACAAACTACAAAACGATGTGCAAAAGCATTGCTTTAATCCTGCTCAGCCGATACCCATCGTCTAACCACGAGCATTGACTTTGTTGCAGATGCGCCGTGTATTCCCAATTCGTGGTTCCTGGACAATGAGTACTGTAACACATGCCATTGCTCGGAGACGGGTATAGCCGCCTGCACCCTGAAGGCTTGCGTCACAGGTACGTGGGAAAACGTCTGCATGTGTGAGGCCTGAGGTTCCGCCTCACCTTGTTTGAGGATAGAAATGCGACGGCGGGTTTGTCTACTTCGATGCGGAGGACCTAATCGCGCCAGTGGTCTATTCTTTTTCTAAATGAATGCTAATAACACATGGGTTGGTCCGCAGAAGCAAAAAGACGACAGCTGCAAAGATGTGATAAGATGATATAATGACTTGCGTAATATCGGCAAAAACAGAAAAATCGTCGTTCAGTGAATGTAATACCTTAATACCACATCGCGGCTAATTGGCACGCTGCAGCGTTCTCGAAAATCGTGCGCAACTAAAACAGCCTTGTGACCCAAATGCGTCTAGCTTTCGAGTTTTGGGCCTCTTTACAGCATGTGCCTACTGAAGGGCTATATTAGTCGCGCAGCCATGAAAAAATACGCGTTACGCAATCATACAAACAATCCCTCCACTCAAGCAAAATGTTGTCTCTTTCTTATGCATAATCTTGACACACACATACCAGCTTCATCTCACAGCATTTGCGGTTTGGTACGCGTCAGGGCATTGTTCACAGCTTTTTGCTTGCTGGAAGGCTTGACAGGGATCTACTGCGGACGGGTATGGCAGTTGGACAATCCGGACAGATGTTAATATTACAACATGATGCATGTAGATCTGGCTTTATGAGTTATGACGTACTTGTACTTCGATCTAGTCACGTTTGTTAAAGAACCACTTCGCTGGCACAATTCACTTTGGCGTTGTGGAGTAAAATGTTATCCATGTCTTTGTTTGAACCCCTTTTCCATCGCAGCACCGCCCAAAGTATAACATGGCCGCCAAGAGGATAACCGATGTCCTATCGCTATCCTCGTCCCCCTCTGGGGACGACCACACTGATCACAACAAGCAGGAGTCCGATAAAGCCACTGATGTGACCTCACTTAGCTTAGATCACTTGGATGCCGTCCAGTGAAAGTGTGCGATCCGCGCGTTCAAAATCCTACGCGTGCCCATCACATCGCCCCAGTGACGACGGACCCTGCAAGGGTTTTCAGTGCGCTGTGAGGCAGGACACAAACTGGTCACGAATGCCACAGCTCGAAGACTGCCCTCGAGGAAGGCATGATGCGTTCCAATGTGCCATGCATAACAGCTGTCAACAACACCACCTGGGCCGTTTTTCAGCTTGTGAAGACCGCGCTATCACTGCCCGAAACCTACCGGTCACCGGTGCAGTCGCATCTACCAATTACCGATATGGATGCCGTGTGCCTTCACGCACCGTCCTTGTCTTATCGCGTAAACACGCGCTTTTTTGGCGCGTGCATATTCTCGACCAACAGTTGTCACTGAAGGGAATTGCAAATGAAATCACCACATTTAGTCTATCCTCTTGTCATTTTGGGATCCACTTCGTTGTGATGTAATACCACAGCAATGAATGACCGCATCGTGTGTTAAAATGCATGAGGATATGATGTTCGATATCTTGCTTTAGCGGTTCAGATCAGTGCGTGTCATGTGTGAAGCAGTCTATGACTTCCGGTGGTACGAAAATGCCCCCCCCCCCACCCCGGGTATGTATGCAGATTCGCCCTGCTTGACCCACCCAGTGTGTCAGGCGAAAATTGTTCACCCAGAGAGGAGGCCGAAATGAACTACAACACTTGCGTACGCACCAACCGGGGGATATCTGCATGCATAAGGCGATCCCGCTCTGGAAGGCGTGGGGTCCATGGTAAACTCATAGTCTTAGATGGCGGCTGTTGCGTTGAAAACTCTTGTCACCGCTTGCATTTGCATTTGTGATTTGACATTGTCACTTGGCTGCACATCAACCGCTGACACTATAATGCGTATATCCTGCCATTTTCGCGTTCAAGGCATGCTGTCATGATGCCTCGATGAATCACAGGAGATGAAGCCAAGACAACCGCGACGCCTTTAGAAATCAGTTTTGCTGCCAGCAACACTATGCAAATGCGGTTCACAATAGATAAACAGATGCGTTCCGACCTATCTGGTGCGTGTTCAGCTTGCCAAGATAGAACATCAGTCGGCGTATAAGCAGTAAGTCAGCATTCAAAAGCCAGCGTAGTCCGTTGCCATTACAGACTGCAATAATATGCCGCTGCATAGGTTTCACTGGGCTACAACACAACGCCTGTATACATTCAAGCACAAGTAAGCGCATAAATATAAACGCTCACAGCTTTCTGCAGTGACCATTGCATGCTATCAATGTCTGTTGGCAAATCCAGAGCCTATTGATACTGATGCCACCGCAAACTAAAATCACTGTTTACAGATGGCACAGCATCACACTGTTATGTGAGCACACAAATCCGTAGTTCAGAAAGGGTACAGTACTAGTACGATGCAGTCGCAAAGAAGGGCGGTAGCACTGCGCAATGAACACAGAATAAAGATCCGCCAGCCACCTTATCCATCTTTAAAACAAACCACATTTTTAGAATGCGAGAACCGTCAGCAGATACAAATCTAGAATGAAAATAACCGCTACGCCATTTGCAACAGAACACATCTTTTCCTTTGCTCACTCGATGGCAACTTATTCTACTTTGAAGCGTATTTGTTCTCAGATCTACCCATCACCCACAAACAGGTGACCGGGAATGCTTCCCCCACGGCACACATAACCTTACGTTGATAACGGCGTTCAGGACTGAAACGTTGCAAGGTCGCAGCACTATCAGACAATAAATGGGAAACTGATGAATATACCTAAAAATCGAGTGTGCCAAAAGGTGTCAGTAACTCACACAAGGATAGCTGGTTTCTAGGAGAATTATCTCTACAGCAGAGTGCTGCACATCACCGTCTGGTTAATATGCTAGAAATTGTCAGGAACAGCACGTTATCCTAGTATTATGGTAGCATGCGATTTGACCAAGCCTGGTCGTAGTACTGATGAATAAAACAATTTCTATGTATTTGAAACGCCTTGACTGGACAGCGATCCCTCCAAAAGTCGGATCACAATTTGTCTTTCACTCCGCCCATCTGCTCGACCTCTGACATCAACTCTGACATCCGGCTCGCAGTACCCCCAGCAGCACACTGCCAGTACGGTCCGTCGTACATCGACGAGTGCTCCAACCTGTGCAAATGCACGGGCGGCGGCTACAGCTGCACGAGGAAGGCGTGTCGGCCCGGCCAGACGACTCAACAACCCTTGACCTGCAACGGCCAGTCGACACTGCCGCGGCTGCCCGGCGTGCGCGTCTTCTGCCACCAGGGCATCGTCAAGGTCCAGCCGTTGGGTAAGGTCCTACCGTCCGTCGTGAGAGATGAGGTCACCATCGGACTAAATTGGCTGGGGAGCAGACTTAGGAGGAGTCGTGGCTGCAAGTGTCGGGCTTGTGCTCGAAATATCTGGGCTCACTTCCTGCACAGCTTCGCCTCAGTAGCCTTCGCTTGCCGAGGTTTCCAGAAAACTGCAGATGCCACTGGGTTAGCAGCTGTGAAGTCGATTGACAGCCCAGAACAATCAAAACACACACACATTACTTCAACCCATGAAGCAGTTGAATGGGACAGGCTCATTTTGCTCCCAAATACATGTGGCTGAACAAAGGCCATGCCTCCCGATAAAAATCCAGCGCTGTCCTAGGTGTTGCCAAACTTGACTGGACGCCACCCTGAATTTGTGAACGCTGTCGCATGTAATGATATACCCCAGGCAGGGGCGCAGTCAGGATTTTCTTAAAAGGAGGCCGAAAGCTCGGGGAATACGCATCACGCCAATTTCCAACTTTCTGTCGGTAGCCCTGCATGGTGAAAAACGAAACTGCCAGTCTAAGGCGCAGTCCCGGCCCCTTAGGTCCCTTCTTTGGTTGTACCCCAGCTTTCTGGTCCCCTTGGGTGGGAGTAAGTATAGGCGGAAACAAGCTAGATGCAAAGTCATGTGTGTAGGGGGCATCCGTCAATACAGTCATCCATGCAACGACAAGTAGCACGCAAAGTATAAAACAATGTGCAAAGCCTGCGCTTAAATCTCTGCGTGCCTGATACCCACCGCCTTACCACAAACTTCGACTTTGTTGCAGATGCGCCGTGTGTTCCTGATTCGGAGTTCCTCGACGAGGAGTACTGCAACACATGCTATTGCATTGACGGGGGTATAGCGACCTGCACCCAGATGGCCTGTCGCACAAGTACGTGGGGAAACGTCTGCCTGTGTGAGAAAAATGGCCTGGTGCGGATGTCACACTCACCGCTAGCTAAAACCCTCCCATCTTACAGTTGCTGCCATCTGAACAGAGTAGGTGCTGGCTCCTTCCAAGCATACACATTCCATTAGCAGCAAGGCATTGGGTCTTACTACGCCTTGACGATCCTGCGTCCGATCTGGTGCGGTCTGTTCCCCCTCCCCCCCCCCCCCCCCGAGCCGCATGTCGGCATCTCGCGAGGTCGGTACCTGAGACCTTGTCGTCTGACAGCGGCCTGTCCTCTACTGCAGGGCCTTCCGGCCGGGGCTACTAGCGCGCCGCTGAGCTCGCTGCCCTGCTCTCGCTGGGGGCTGCACACAAACCATCCTGGGGTGAGCATCTAGCTGCCGACGCTGGACGCATCGAATCACGGCTGTCTCCAGCGTATTCGCACCATATGCTTAGTAGTACATTCTGAATGTGATTCGAGATTTATTTGGAAAATTGGGATTCCGCCCCTGGACGTCAAAATAAAAAATAGAAAAACAACGCAAGTGAAAGGATCAAAGTGTGCGTCTTTAGACTGATTGCATCCTCTATAAGTCACCTGTTACCATTTTTGTTACGGGTCGAATACCGTGAAGAGGAAAGGAGCTGACTTACGCCATCTTCGCAGGCATTATGGCTTCCGCTCCTGATCTGGACGAAAATGCTGATGAACTTGGCTTTGAACCTGTGTTAAGAGGTTCCTACATCGCGGGATATTCTACTCTGGGCTACAATACAAGCGACACATATTGATATGCAATTCATGTATCAATACACTTTAAAAGAAGGCATTGCACATCTGTTTGTTGCAGTTTCGCTCAGTGCTCTCCGTACCTGGCGAAAGAACGTCAATGAACGAAAGCGATATAACACACGGTGGGTATGATACGGTGGTGGTCTTTGCGATATCCCGCGTATTCCGTGGCAATCAAGTGCATGGGTGATGTGGTCAATTGCGCATATTTCCCAGCTCAACAGAGGCGTAGGCGGATATGAGGCGCACGGAGACCATACCCCTTCCCCTGAGCCAAGAGGTCGGCACCAGACATCGGGTGATTCTGCATGAATTTCATAAACATTCGCAGGATTTCAGAGACAATTTTTGGAACTTTTGACATGTGGGCCACGTGGGCAAACTTTTGGCTACGCGCCTGCATCTCACCCAACCAGTCTTAACAAATTTAGGTTCAATGAATGATTCACTTGTCCTCCCACCATGCCTTGCTCCGTTCTTTGGAGCAACGTCGAATGTCAGCAACCCTGAGATGCCACGCGGTTGGTTTATGCCCGACGAAATTTCTTTGTAAACTTACTACCAGGCAATAGTTCTAAAGGTTTAGTTCTAACCTTTTGATTGGATTGATTTCTGTGATAACAGGCCACACCAAACAGCACTCGTGTGAGCTCTGACCGCGCCGTCGAACCGTGAATTCCAAGTCAATGGCGGAATTTTTGGACAAAAACTGTATGCGATGTAATTCCCGGGAGATCCGATCTACCCCCTGACGTCACCTGACGATTCGCACAGCCGCTGGCACCTGCCGCAGGCCGTCCAAGTCAAGGGCAGATAGCGAGCGCCGAGGTGGCAGGAGAAATACACGCTGTTACGTGAAGCGTGGTTTTCTGATCCGCGGTAATCTGATCCGCGGAATCCGCAGTGACGTGGTTCACCTTTTGCGGCACCTGACAGACGCCCGTATCATGATCCTTCTCTCCGCCCTCAGCACAGTGCCGGAATGGGTACTGTTTCATCAGGTGAGGCGCCTCGTGGCCAGTGCAGCAATGTCTCGCTTTGCCATTCGCAGGGACGACGAGAGCATCGCCCTCACAAATAGTGTCACACCCAGTGCTAAACCTGTTTACACATCTGGGATCACGGGGCGAAGGTACGTCCCGGGTAGCAGCAGCAACCGCCCAGGCAAAGTCACAGATACCCCTATCCAGAGACGCGTCCATTGTCACCAAGCTACCCTTCGCGGCACCCAGCAGTGTACAATCAGAAGCTCCTGAATATTATTTCGTCCGCCAGCAATGCGTCACTCTTAACTATATCTCCTCAGGCGACTGAGACACAAATCACTGGAACTCAAAGGCAAGTCAGTTTGTGCTTGGGATCCTAACTGTGGCGACTCAAAGAACAAAGCGTCAGCCTGGGTACCAAGAATGCAATCCAGACGACGCAGCAACTGTATGCATACATGATTACTTATCAAGCGGCGGGTTCCATGTATTGGTCAAGAAATTGAAGGCGCCAGTCACGGTAGTCTCAGAGTTGACCTACTTTACTAGTTCACGATCAACCGGACAGAGGTTTGCAAAAGCACGAGGTATGACAGCTGCCAACAGCACACCATCAGACCCTCAGCCTTATACCTTGCCCTCAGATTTTCAACAGTAGCAATACAAACGGCTGTCATTCTGTCATGCGCTCTCTCACCTTCAGGACAGATATGGGGAGGTTCATAACAGAAGCTGTGGGTGTGGCGCCCTCGTTCTCTACGATTCACATGCTTGGTTAAGCTAACAATTATATGTCAGCATCACCAGCTCTTAATTCATGCAACGGTAAAATGACGTGCTTGGAAGAGGGTGCTTTATTCCTTAAAATAATGAGCAGGAGCTGAAAGCTTGTCTTTTTGACAGACATCAGTGGTGCGACAGCATGCAAACGGTAGCAGCCTAGGCAAGCCCCACACCACGCAGATGGGCTCGCACATAGGCTCGAAGCCTTTCTTACAGCTTGGTTGTATGAACAAGTGACTGCCACCAACGGGTGAGGGGAGAGGGCAAAGCCAACGATCTCTTGGGCATACACATGAGCGGGGTCGCCAGTTCAGCAGTCCCGCCATCTGCAAAATATGATGAGCACAAGGATTAAGTGGCACGCGTGAGAGAAAGGCCCTGACACCGTCCCCTTACCAAGTCACCTCGCGTTCAGTGTCATCCCACGCTAGCCCCTCGGCGTCCGCACAGGCCGCCGGCCCGCCGGAAGATGACTGAGGAGTCTTAAGGACAGCTTGAAGGCGGGACGGTGTGACCCGGTGACCCGGTGGCGTTAGCACCTGGCGTTTTGATCTACTAGAGCGTCAATTTTGTCACAGGATTGTTACATTTGTGCAAGCATCTTTGAGGTAAAAAAACAGTTTCAACACCTGGTCTCAAGCCGCTTCGGAACGGCAGGTCAGACATCCCAGAACACCGTCTTTCTCTCAAATGTGTTAAACGCACATTTCGCGGACCGATTGGAGCAATTTGCTCTGCAATTGTAGGTATGACATTTGGCTTGTAATACAAAGGCCAGAAGTGACCAAGTAACATGACAAAATATTAAAGGTTTCCTTGAGCCACTACTCCATTCTGTCACGTTTTAGGTTCATTATCGACCTCATGAGATGCGAGTGCGTGGTATTAGTGGTAAAATTAATAGAAAGCGGTGTACAGACCCCAAGGCCATATACAATGCACAAAATAGCAAAATTTTTACTGTTCAGTACTGTGGCTGAATCCTTTTTTTGTCCTCTGAGAAAATCGTCTGCTTACCAGCACCTCCTGGCTTACTCGCCGCCTGCTCCTATCATTGCGTGTGCATGACGTCGTCCCTGACAATGAAAACCACAGAAGACCAAAACTTAAACGCCGTTCTCGACAACACCAGACAGTACTAAGCTGCGTGGTCTACCAGATACATGACCCCACGGTTTACGATCCGTATGAGTGTCAGCTCCGCCAGCTTCGAGACACCCGATGGAAGGATTACTTATCGGTAATGTGCTGTTTGCGTGGTAACGTTATATCAGTAGCCACACTATTATCAGCTGTTTGAGCAATTAACGTCGTAATGTCGTCCGTAATGTTTCAAAGACAGACTGAAGCATGCAACTACTAACCATGGCAGCACGGACGTGAAGATCCTGAGAATGAGACTGTTCTACTCCGCGTCTCAGATCCAATCCTTAATCTGCGCATGTCACGAAATGGGTAACTGCGTGGTGAAACCAGGCGGCTAGATGCCGCTGCTTTTGAAGAGATTTCCCCATCTTAAGGGAAAATTTCAAAAAATACCCTGTTGAAACCTTCGCACCGTCAGTCAAATAATTACACTCGGTAGTGAAGCTACAACACCACCAAGACGTTATAACACGATACATCATTAACTATTTTCGAGTCCAACTTCTGCTGTCAACGCCCTTTGGAGCAACGCAACCCCCCATTCTTGGTAGCCCCAGACAGGGGACGTCGTTAGGGCCCAAGGGCTGTTAGGGCATTGGCCCAGTGTATCTCATGTCCGCGACAGCTGAGGTGGTCGCGATCGTCGTCGTCATGACGACCGCTGTTGTTAAGGGGACGGCAGAATCTTCTGGGGGCCGTTGTCAGCTGTCATGAGTTAGAGGTACCACTTTTGACCTGTTTTAACCTGCACGTTGCGGGCCTTTGGGATTAAAAATGGTACCTTTACTGGTATGGATAACGTCAGTACAAATGAACGTTTATGCTTGGCACAGCAGGCGGTAAGGGCCAGTTATCGAGAAACTCATTGGTTGAGGTTTGAACCCGTACACCTACATACGTCACAGTGTACTGTATGATGCCCCATTTCGCGAAGCCAAAGTGCGTTTCGGAAAGAGCCACTGTGCTCAACACGCAAGGAAGAAATCAAAGCCGTAGTATAACGCTCCGCAGAATTCCTGGGATAAAAGCGTAATATTACAGATGCTTTTTTCTCTAAAAAAACTTTTCCAGCTTTTGTTAAGTTTATTCACAAGCATGTCGACAAATTAGCGTAGTTCAAACAAAAAATGCACAGGCTGGAGAATGCAATGCAAACTAAATGCATTGCTTTCATAGCGATGAACGGGGAGCCCGATAAGATTTCTCCCGCAGAAGCCGTTACTTCAAATCAAAATTCTGAGCTATTAAGACAGATTTCGAAAAAAGCTGATATTACGGACCAAATCAAAGGTGTCTGATCTATCAATAAGTGAAAATGCCAAAAAATGTGGCGTACTGCCTGTGGAGGAGACCAAGAAGCCCATGAAAGAGATAGATATGAATAACATACAACACAAGCTCTCGAATAGTGACAACCACACCGTCATCTCGCGATAAGACCTGAACTATAATCACCTGCTATAATTTTTTTGTGTCGGCTTTGATGTTGTGACCTGCAGTACTAACAGGTGATTAAAAGACCGCAAACAGTACAGAAGATTACGCGGACACCATGAAACAATAAAAAGAGAGTCATGTCATTGGAAGCTACGGTTTTGTACATGACAGGTTTAATGTCTTGAGTAAACGTTGTTTTTATGCGACGTGGCCATGACGCATCCATCAAATGTTCAAAACTGTCATTTTAACGGACAAATAGGCCGTCGTGAGTGAAGAAGTGAGGCTCAAACGAGATTGTGGTGCTTCTTGAAGGCGGGGCGACGGAATCGCTCACTCACAGGATGTATGCATTTCCAACCGTAGGTGAAGGCAAGAGGGCATAAGGTATAACTGACGTGCGTTGTTGGTCGCGCAGGTTTTATCGAGACCAGACTTACGGGGAATACACACGTGACGGCTGGGTGTCGCCGGATGGCCCCACATATCAATGTGAACGAGATTATGCGTTATTGGCCGCTGACATGGGCATGCAACTTGCGGGTTAGGCCGCTGCTCTTCATGAATCACTTCACTTCTCTTTCCAGATTCCTTGCTTCTGGATGTTCCGTCAATGTTGTCCCTGAGTGTTCGTTGTCCCTGAGTGTTGTGTCAACGTTGTCAGTGTCCCTGAGTGTGTGTTTTGTCCCT